ACTTAAAGTATATGAGTCAAAACGATTTTCAAAATATAATTTACACTGAGTCAAGATGCTAGAAAAGCATCTTTATTTCAGATTTCATTTTCCCATGGCTTTACAAATCTGAGAACTGATAAGTTACATTGCGAATACGCCGTCTGGTTGTTAAAATAACATCCGAACTAGACGACATGTATAAATAATCCAATTATTATTATACAAGTATTAGCCCCAACTCTGATCATGATAACTCACCCCCCCCCTCCACTCCATGTGATGCCTTTCAATTCAATTTTTCATAAATGACATAGAACCTGAAATGTGCGCCCTGAAATGTGCGTTGCGTCTACAAATGCATCTAGGCATCAGTCGACGAAAACGAGACAAACCAAAGTCTTCCAACTGATACACAAAAGCAAGGTCATTTGAAAAATCCTGACCTGGGATCCTGACCCGGGGATCCTGACTATGGAACTCCTTCTATATTGAACCTATTCTCCGTTTGAATATACAATATTAAGGAAATGGATACGTTATTAGGTCAAAGAGTCACCATGTTAATGAGGAAGGGGTGTGAAGAACCAAATAATTATATCAGCCATAGCATTTGAGACTGATTTGAGATACATTTCATTCCATTTAAACTGTTTCCCTTGCGCATTTGTAATTATAGTAGACAGACATCACATTGGAGGAGGGGGGATGAGCATTAACATAATCAGATTTTAGGATGCATTTGCAAATTGTATTTGAAATTCGCATGGGAAGGAAAAGAAGGAAATGGGTCTTAAAATCTGACACTCACTCATGGAAATAGTATGATGCCTGAAAACAAGTACGGTATATGCAATCAAAAAATCTTGCCTCCAGACTATCCACCCCCCCCTCTATTTCAGCCAAAATACACACACTCATGGCGGGGCTTGTAGCTAAATTATCAATCATCATTAGTGAATATGAATTTTCACTGGTAATAGCAATTATAACAATAGCAATTATCCTTTCAATAGTTTTATCAAGAGAGTTCATCTGTTGCTTCTTTTATCATCTGAACTCCAGAGTAAACGATAATCATGTATAAGGAATTCTCTATCCCCGATAAAGCTTCATCAATAATCGCAAAATAATAAACTCAATATTATAATATCATATGATAGCTAGGATTTGCCGTGTGAGGTTCACTTCTTGAAAAATTCCAAGGGGGGTTAACTTGTGCCAATTTTGGTCCAAAAATGGCCGAAATCACTTAAAAAGTGTTCAGAATGGTGAAAACCGCATGATTTTGAAAGATTTTTTGACAGGGGGAGGGAGGGGGGGGGGGGGTAAATCGAACCCATCGAACCCCCCTGGATATGTGCCTGTGACGGGCCTGATATCTAGAGGGCGCTTGATAATGATCAGGGGTGCCGGGTAAACAAATTCTTATTCCCCATTGAACAAGAATACAATTACATGGAGATGAAGGGCTGACGCAAGTGAAGTTAATTTGTTGTTGTATCATATTGGCTAAATCATAAGTAAATAAGTCCAGAAATACATGGACAAAATGTAATCAGAAAGGTGGACTAATTGGTATTATTTGTTTTGATTAATGATTACATAACTAAAACGCTATGTTAGATGTCTGTAATCCCCCCCCCCCTCTCACCAAGGGCTATGCATTGTTTCAAGTGATATAAAATCTAGATTCGTAGAACATTGATACCTGTACTACGTATTTCGTACTTTCGCACATTAACAATTTATCACAAAATGTCATGTTGACCTCGATTTGACCCTTTTGACCTAACTTTTGAAAAACAATACTTTTTGAAGCGCTAATTGAAAATTAAAGGGTTACAAAATACCAACAATATTGAAAACAGATAAGTAATAATAAATCGCCGGGGGGAATTCCAAATATCCAAATCCCTCCACCATTGCGACTATGTGTTATAATGGGCTTTTAATTGAAAGTCTGTTATAAAAAGGTTGCAGACATCAGGCTCTTTAAAAGTATGTCATATTGCTATTTATATACCATTTGTCTTCTTAATAGCTTCTTAAGCATCAAATATCAAATCACAATAGTCCAGGGAAAAATAATTGTGAATAATGGCAAAATGTTCATTCTTAATTTAATGAAATTCACTTTTGGATACTAGTACAGGTACTTTTGAAAGTAGATTATTTGTTTGATTGAAAAAATTGAAATATTGTTTTTTTTATCAAATTAACATGGATTTTTTAAAGAATTTTGTAATAAATGTTAGTAACAATAGCAATCAATAATTTGTAAATTATTGATGTGCAGGATATGTAATCCGGGATATGCACACAGTGTGTCAATCCTGTATGTATCCAGGCGTCAGGATTCATACAGGATTGGCACACTGAGAGCGTATCCTGTATGAATCCAGGAGGGAGGATTCATGCTGGATTTCTACCTGCTCCAATCCTGTATAAAACCTGACGCGTGGATACGTATAGGATATGTACATTGTGTTCCAATCCTGTATGTATCCAGGCGTCAGGATTCATACAGGATTGGCACACTGCGAGCGTATCCTGTATGAATCCAGGAGCAGGATTTATACTGGATTCGTACATTCGCAAATCCTGTATAAATCCTGACACAGGATATGTACAGGATATGAACATTGTGTGCCAATCCTGTATGTATCCAGGCATCAGGATTCATACAGGATTGGCACACTGCGAGCGTATCCTGTATGAATCCAGATGCAGGATTCATACTGGATTCCTACACGCGCCAATCCTGTATAAATCCTGACACAGGATATATACAGGATATGTACATTGTGTGCCAATCCTGTATATATCCAGGCATCAGGATTCATACAGGATTGGCACACTGCGAGCGTATCCTGTATGAATTCAGATGCAGGATTCATACTGGATTCCTACACGCGCCAATCCTGTATAAATCCTGACACAGGATATATACAGGATATGTACATTCGGTGCCAATCCTGTATGTATCCAGGCATCAGGATTCATACAGGTTTGGCACACTGGGTGCATATCCTGTATGTATCCTGACCTCAGGATTCGTTGTATTCGTACACATTTTTTGCTGTGTATGTATATGATGTATATTACAATGACTCTCTGCACAGAAGGGGCATGTTAATCATACTTTCATTTCTCAAAAATATAATCCTCAAAAACTGTGATGGCTTAAAAGTAATAGTTATTACTAAGATAGAAAGGTATCAAGTGATTCAATCAACAAGAACATTAAATAAAATAAAAAAAAATCATTATTATATCCATGGCAACATTGGCACAAACAAAAAGACAACCACAGAGTATTCGTTGGCACTGCCATCACTAGCAATCAGACAGTGGTGTTTTTATTAAGATTCTTTTATAACATTATGATTATCAGAGTTGATCTACATGATTACGCATTCTTATTTGTTGCTGTGGAGATGCTCATGTCATAATTTCCCATTTTCAAATGGCAGCCTGTCATGACTATTTGGCTCATGGTTTTATGTTTTATGACAGGGCCTAGGATGGGTGACTTTAAGATCCACTTTATCTTGCTGACTTTCAATTTTTCTGCACATGCAAAATGAAATACTTGACAATATATTGATTTACTGTCACACAAGACATCTAGCAAACCCACATGTATAAAAAATCTCATTTAAACGTAAAAACTGTTTTGGACCATTAGTTATTAAGATTAATATGGGGGCTTAGGGCAATAGTCATTATTTATATGATAAAGGTCGATTAAAGTTTATACAAATAGAAGGCGACCTAAAAAATGTTATCCACTAGTTTGGGAATCATTTCTCAATCAAGAGGTCATTCTCATGATTCAGAGATATCATGTTTTCCATTGAGGCATGCTCTGACGCTAAACTACTCAAAAATAAAAGTTGGGAAATCTGCCTTTCTTGAAATTTGCCTAATCAACAAGTTAGATTATCATATTTGATAAAATAATTTAGAAAAATGGGTATATATGATATACAGGGTATCCCGAGAGTATGGGCCCTCCCCCTAGGCAGACATACACCAATGTCCCCATAGTATGTGTCATATATCATTTTAAAGCTTGTCCAAAGTTACATTGATTTGCCAAGTATCATGGTTCAACTCACAAACGGGAAAAAGCTACACGCATTTCAAAATGTAGTGTTTTACCAAAATTAAAGTTTAGTTTTACACAAAATTAATAGTCGGCGTGTCTCCCTTGGCCATGTTAACAGCAGCATTTCTTTCCAGATATGACCTTAAATTAACTTCAAATAGGGGTATGGCATTTTATAATCTTCATAAAACCTTTTTAAGGCATTTTAGAAGAGTTTCCTTGGAGTATCTGCCCTTACCAACCTCTTTTTACAACTCAATATCTATCCTCTCTTTGACGATAGCACCCATATTTTTGGTCACATTCAGGTTAGCGGTGTTTCCAGGATACTGATTTTAACTTTAATTTTGGCCAAACACTAAGTTTTGAAATGCCTGTAACTTTTTCTAATTTGTAAGTTGAATCATGATACTTGGCAAATCAATGTAACTTTGGATAAGCTTTAAGATGATATATGACACATACTATGGGAACATTGGAGTATGTCTGCCTAGGGGGGGGGGGGGGTGGCATACTTTCGGGACACCCTGTACATGTAGTATTGATAACAATGAAAGCAATCTTCTTTTTGGAAAAATGGATAGATATGATATACATGTATTATTGATAACAAATATGAAAGCAATCTTTTTAGAAAAATGGGAAGATATGATAGTAGTATAAGTTAACATCATGTAGTCTATCATTGATAATATGCATGGAAGCAATACAGAAATGGCTCAAATTATGGTTAAGACAGATATCTTAGTTTAAGAACTTGCATTTTTTGGACGATTTCACAAGAGTATACCTGTTGAAAATGTTAATACCATTTACTCTTAAATCTCAAAATCAAAGATGCAATATAAATACACCACTGTTTTCTCCTTTGAAAACAAAAAATCCTAAAGATTTTTATCAAATGAAAGGGAGTATTATTTCAAAATAAGAGGGCAACACATTTTTGAGTCACATGGTATGTCCTTGTAAAATTTAATCAGCCCTCCTTTCAGTCAATGATTTGATTTCAAAACTCCATATAAACAACAATCAATAATGAGAAAATACAGTTAAACAACTACACATACATTTGTTTTATTTCCCCTAAAGAATGGATACAACATATCTTCTGGAAAACATCACAACTTAGCCAAAATGTGAACTGTTTCATAGCTATCTGTGAAATGAAAGAACATTAATCATTCTGTCATAAATCAGGTTCAAATTACACTCAAAGCAAAATTCTTATCTGTTGACATCACTATTTATGATACAATGTACATGTTATACATGTAGAAGTCTTACGGTTATAATGAAAACACGCGCTACGCACTAACGCGCTGGCGCACTAACGCACTGTTCAGAATGATCGATCCCAGAGGCCCGGAAACATGTATGTAAATCGAGTCGAATTATATTAGGTGGCATTAGACGACAGAAGTAATGCCCAATGTTTGATCGTTTACTGTGCAACGATTATTGCTTGTCAGTGTGTTTATCTGATTTAAAAGGAAGATAAAATAAAAAGTAGCAACTACAGGATGAATGGTCGCAGATTGCGAATATGCTCACTACTTCATGGCGTTATTGAAGACCGTCGGTGAGAAAAATCCTGTTTCGAAATCTGAGGGCCCCCGTCTGAAATAACTTGACTAATGACTTCATAATGTATATTTGTCGCATATTTCCACTTAATTTCAAGTCTTTAATGTTTTATATATCTTTATCCTGTATTTTTGAAGTTATATCTTAAATGTTCTTATCAGTAGGCGTCGCAATTATATTTTATTTTCGTGTCCGGTTGTAAACGCACTTTCGCTTTCATGAAGGGGGGTGTATAGGGATATCGTATTTCGTAATGAGTGAACATTTATTTAAATATCATAAGAGAGGCCAACTTTTATCGTATATGGTAGCGTATAAGTTAAATATATGTTTTAAAATAATTAAAACCAGCCCAACATTTATATGGGTAATCCAGGCTTTGATGGATGTTTTGAAACATTAGATTGTCCCAAATGAGTTCTATAGCACCTGAAATCGAGAACTCAAGATGTAGAGACAGTATGTGATGTATGTAGGCCTACAATGAAGGAAATCAAAATTCAAAAAATGTTTGGCCGTGTAGGGTCCCCCCGACCCCCCCCCCCCCCATTCAGACTACGGTCCCGTATGCAGTCCATTTGCCTTATGATATTGGTAGTACATGGATTCTTGCATCATGTTATTTCCTTCTGAATATTATCCAAAGTTTAATCAACAGCAGTTTCAAAATTATCGTAAATGGTTACATGGTATTTCACCTGGAGTTTTCGTAATATATGGTAGTATAAGAGATGTGAGAAATATTGCAGTCATTTTATGTTATAAAAGAGGTGAAAAACTGTATATGGTATAAAAGGGGTGAAAAATATTGCATATGGATTTCCAAGACCCCCTATAAACCCCCCTTTCATGTTTGCTTTCGTATTTTCTCATCTTGATTAATTAGATTTGGTTTGGAATTACGGCTGTCCCGGGAATTATATTTTATCAGGAATATTACTAAAGGAGGATTATCTTTTCATTTTATTTATAACATTTTATTTCAATTTTAAATTGGAATTATAGTTTTTTATATTAGAGACGATTTGAAAAGTAGTGTAAACCAGCGTGTTTTATCATTGCCCGATAATCGTTAGCCTTGCCCAAGTCGGTATTTTTTACTTATCTGATCTTGAATTATTACCGCCTTTTACAATCCATTACATCTCCACTTATTACGCTGAAATATTCAACGGTTTCGAGATTTTCATAATACCTACCCTATCAGGGGTATCGCGAAACCTTATTGATTGACAGATATCGCGTGGACACGACGTGTGACTTCAAGGCTGAATGACCAATCAAAACGTTATCAGGTTGAACTGCATAAACAAAAGACTTCCCATCTACGACTTGAAATTCAATGATCTGATCGAGTGTTTCTTTAGAGTTAGAATATATAATGTAATTAAATGTACATTGGAAGGTAATGGTCATTAATATAAATTAAATCATGCGATTCAATGTTGATTTAAAACTGATTTCGCGATGAAAATGCACGAAGACCTATAGATACATATGTAGGGGCTAGCGGGTCATGTTGTCGATCGGTGATTGAATCTCAGCCTACATGTTCAGTGATCGTTTCAACGTTTATCGTTGAAATCTTCTCACCTTTCGTTATCCGATCGATGCTCCGGCAACTCTCATTGATATTTATCTGATAAAATATTTGTATTTTCATGATGAATTCGTGCAAAATTTGTTCGTGAAAGGTCCCAGTGAAAAGTGTACTTGTTTAGCTATTGCTGCAGGGCCGTCGTTGATTGGTCAAATTTTACCGACATAAACATTGAGTCGGTTTAGCACGTGGCTTTCTCATTTGTACAAGGCGGTCATAATAGAAATCAGGATAAGTAAAAGAGACCGACTTGGGCAAGGCTAGATAATCGTACAAACATTCATTTTAGTTTTGAAATTATTTCCTGAATCAAAGTTGAATTTAGTTTTGTAACGGTGTTTAGAACATTTCAATTGGTCTTATATTTTTAGAGAAATCGTAACTAGAAAAGCGTAATTTTTGTGATCTTACGGCCGCAAACTGGTTCACATCTTTGAAGTTTGATTGTCAGGTTAGCGATAATTTATACAGCCTTTGAAGTGTCAATGTTTCGACAAGTTCCCAGGCAATATCCTAACCGTAATTATACATGTCCCTGGGCCTATGATATAGACCAATCATAAACATGGGCTTAAAACATGCGCACACTTCGTAGGGATCGATCATTCTCCACTAGCGCATTGGCGCGTGGCGCGTTAGCGCGTAGCGCGTGTTTTCATTATAACCAAGTCTTACATATGGATTTGTGGTAAACCATATGTGTTTTTACAACAAGGCGATCCATTGTCCATATTGATCTTTTTCAATCCAACATTCAGGGACTCTTTGTCATCATCAGGGACCGTGCAACATGTTGTGTTAGTTGATTCTAGCTCTGTTTTAGAAAGCTTTGCTGCAGAGTTTTTCTCACGATTTTCCAGATTTTCCTTCCATTGTTCTTCAAACTTTGCAGCTTGGAACATTTCATTAAATGTGTTACCAATTATTGGGATAGGGAGTCCTGTGCAAATCAGTCCAACGATTGCTGTCAATGCTCCAACAATGTATCCTCCCATTGATGCTGGGTGGAGGTCACCATACCCTACTGTTGTCATGGTGACGATAGCCCACCAGCATCCAACTGAGACTGACGGAAAGCCGTCTTGTACTTGAAACTCAGCCCAGTAGATGAAAATAGAAAACACAACCATGCCAGTCACCAACAGGAAACACAGCAAGAATATCTCCATCTTACTGGCATAAAGAGCCGCAATCAGTAAACGGAATGATCTATAGTAATTCGCCAATCGAACAAGCCGATAAACCCTCAAGGATCGGGCAAAGTTGACAAAACCATAGACAATCAATAACTGTTCTTGAGAAATATCATTTGCAAATTCAGGACGCATTATGAAAATCATTCCAAGAAAAGATGCGATGTTGCTGATGAGGTCAATGTATGTTCCAGGCTGCTTGAAGAACCAGAAACGACATCTGGTAACAATTATCTGAAGAGTCCATTCTATTGTGAAAAAAACTGTTGTCCAACCTTCCATTATTTTTAAAGTTGGATGAATGGTTGTTCTCGTAATTTTTGTAATTCTTGGGTTAGTTCTGTTCACTGATTGTGTTACATTCCATGTAACTGGGACGCGGAAATTCTCATCCATCTCCACAATGATGATGAACAGTGATGCCAGCAGATTTGTCAGAAAGAACAGCGCCCAAATCTGAAAAACCAAAAAATTAAATGTAACAGTTCAGACTGTAAAATAAATATTGGATTTTGAGTATGCTTTTAGATCCATCAGATAAAGTCAAATTCGGAGAGGAGTTTGATTCCTCGACTAAGAAGTAATATGGAGCCTAAGTATTGATCATTATCAGACCATATTATGACAAACAATGACAAGATGACAAAGCATCACATTTACTGATAAGTACCACGGGACATGGAGTCATAAAGGGATGTACAAGGTCGTTCAATAAGTTCATGCAAAAACATTCTCATTTTTTTTATTTTTCAATGTTTTTCCTTTAAACTTTCGCAAATCATAGAAAAAATACATACTCATTGAAAAACAAAAAATAAATAAATTACTTTGTTTTGATTGGTCTAACCCATATTTTGGTCACATCGGGTAATTCATGATGTGAAAAAAGTTTAATTTTAATTGAATTCTTGTGATTTATCAGTTGCACATTAGGTCTCTATAAAACATTGTATTTTTAAATTAAAGTTCCTAACTGACTGAATGATCTGGTTCTTTCAATAAAAGTTGCAGCTTTTTTGAGGAATTTTGAACAAAATTTCCATAGATTATTTTGCAAACCTTTTCATAAATAAAGAACCAACCTTAGAACCAAAACTGGATGCTGGGTCATTTAAGAAAATGCAGACTTTTCTTTTGAAGTGGTCCCACTTAGTCGCCTTCTCATCTAGACTCCTGTGTAAAATACCAGTCCAGTTCAAGAGAAACGAGACTTTGAAGTATTCTTGTACCTCCATGCTACTTCTAGTGAACTCTTTCCAACAGCAAACTGGGACTGCAGAATCTTCAATCTTCCAGAATGTTAACGCAGTTCGAAGTGTTAACGTGCAAAACGATTTCGGAAAATGAACAGTTCCTTGTTTGAAATAGTCCATAATGTATGGAAAGAGAACTGGATTTGATTCGAAAAAATATTCATCTTTCTCACTGTCATAGCTTGGATCAGCTTTGGTTAGTTTGTACAAACGATGTCCAGGTATATTATCAAGAGTCTCCCGATAAACAATGTATATATGACCACTAATGTTAATTGTTACTCTTTCCTTAGGATTTTTTACATCTGGATATTTACATAAATCATTTAGATTTTTATTGAAACTTTCTTTAGATGGTCCTAAGCATGCAGCCATTTTTGGTTTAATTAGTCTGACAGAATATCTCAATTAAGATATTCTATTTCAAGTCAAAGAGTACTGTATATCCTTTTCTTTTAAGTAACAATCGAAATCAGAGCAGCAAATTTAATATCCACAACTACATCCTTAGACATAAGAGAGTTCTGTCTGGCAGCAAATTAGAACACACAAATCAACCCATTGAACTCCATAATTGTTCTAATAGCTCATTGAAACCAGATACCAATGTTACATCACCCATTGTTGATGTCAAAACACAGCACCACTTATATAAAATGGGTTTAATACCTGTGAGTCTATCCTATTGAATTACAAGCTTCCGTTTATTGATGGTATCTTAATGGCTTTGATATAAATAAATACTCCCATTAATCAGATTAAATCAATACTTTTCTAGTGTTGCTATTGTTATAACTTGATAGGGCATACATTATAGCATAAAGGTTTTTTTTAGATCAAGAGATGATTAAATAAAAAAAATAATTAAAAATAATTAATTATGCTTTTAGAAATATGTTTTAAATTGTATGTATTTATTATTTCTAAAATTTGTGTCCCAGATTTGGAGTAATACAGATTCTCAGCGCTGTGATGATACAAAAAAATTGATTATTTAATCTAAAAAAATCCATGAGTTATTCCCATGCTTTGAATAATTCATGAATACAATTGTATATCATGTAATCTGAAAAATGTGTTGCTACTGTATGACAACATTTCAAAAAATTATACTTATCTGTAGTTTCAAAGGTATGAATAGTGGTCCATGTGAAATATTTGGAAGCCCTATGATTGTAATTCAGTGATCACATTAGCATCCACCTGGGATTGAGTACAGGCACCACTTGAAAATGAGTTGAACCATAAAAAGAAGGACTATTTTGACAAATGGTATGAATTGTGAAAATGAAAATTGAGAACCCCTTGTGTAGTGTCTTACTTATATAATATAGTAATCCCTTTAATTAGTCATTCAATACATGCATGTTGTACACACAAAGATATAACTAATGTGTAGGGAAAGGGGTTCTTTAGGGGTCCTTGAAATGTCTAAAACCTAAACATTGACATGAAAAATGTCATGACCTGCCATTTTTTACAGACACTGAACCCCAAACACTGTCTACAAAAAAGTTGGGAGACTATCAATATGTCATTATTTGTGTTGGTGACATAACAATTACAGTACAAGAACACAAATGTGTACAAAATGTCCCCACCAATGGGTGATCCCGTCAAATGGTTATCCTGAAAATGAGTAGACAGTAGAGTAGTCAGTTCTAGATTTTCAAACTAAGAACCACCCCTGAAAATTTTAAATTGATCTGTCACACAGTTAACCAGAAAACATGTAAACAAGACTTTACAGACAAGATTTTAGGATGGAAAATCCAAAATGGCTGCCTTGACATTTACCCAAAATGTCAAAAAAAAACTAATCTGTTTCTAGATTTTCATACTAAGAATCATTCCTGAAAATATGACATTGATCTACCAAATGGTTCACCTGAAAATGCGTAGACTTTACAGACAATATTTTAGGACAGAAAATCCAAAATGGCTGCCTTGACATTGATGCAGAATGCCAAAAAACTAATCAGATGTAGATTTTCATACTGAGAATCATCCTTGAAAATTTGAAATTGATCTACCAAACGGTTCACCTACAAACGCGTAGACAAGACTTTACAAGCAAGATTTTAAGACGGAAAATCCAAAATGGCTGCCTTGACATTTACCCAGAATGCCAAAAAACTGATCAGTTCTACATTTTCATACTAAGAAACATCCCTGAAAATTTGAAATTGATCTACCAAACCGTTCACCTGAAAAAGCGTAGACAAGACTTTACAGACAAGATTTTAGGATGGAAAATCCAAAAAGGCTTCCTTGACATTTATCCAGAATGCCAAAAAACTAATCAGATCTAGATTTTCATACTTAGAATCATCCCTGAAAATTTGAAATTGATCTACAGAACGGTTCACCTGGAAATGCGTAAACAAGACTTTACAGACAAGATTTTAGGACAGAAAATCCAAAATGGCTGCCTTGACATTTACCCAGAACGCCAAAAAACTAATCAGATCTAGATTTTTATACTAAGAATCATCCCTGAAAATTTTAAATTGATCCACCAAATAGTTCACCTGAAAACACGTAGACAAGACTTCACAGACAAGATTTTAGGACGGAAAAATCCAAAATGGCCGACAATAAAAAAGTGATTATGAGTTTTTGCTGATTTCTTTTTACAAAATTATCACATATAACTACTGTTAATAATAACATAGGCTTTTACAACAAAGTACATCTGAAATTATTTATAAAGCTACTAAATAGTTAAAGTATGAAAACTCAAAAACACCATTCAATATGATACAAAGTATTTTTTTCTAAAGACATTCAAAATGGCTGACATGACTGAGCTAACAGGTCCAAAACCTAATCAGATCTAGAATGAAGTGAGCTGAACAAGATATAAAAGTTTTAAAAGCAACTGTGAAGCCCTTTTTCTTAAAATTTGCAGACAAGGATTTTAGCATTTGACTTCAAAATGGCCGACAGGAAGTAGGTGTCGAGTTAAAACTTTTTCATCCACATCTGTATGCACTCATAAGTTATCCCTGAAAATTTGAAGGTGATATCTGTAGCGGTTTTGGAGAAAACTCCCGGACGTACGGACAGACAGACGGACGCGCCTAGGCCGACAATATGGCCCCACACTATGTGGTGGGGACATAAAAAGTACTCACAATTCTTATTAGCACTCATATTTCGCCATTGTAACAATGTAGATGCTACCACAGCTTCATCTTCTATAGGATTCAAAGAGCATGTGGAATAGACTAATCTTCCATTGTCTCCTAGAAGGGCCAGACCTCTCTTCAATATCCTGGTTTGCAGTCTATAATACAGAACACATTGTAAGCATATGCACAGGATGTAAAGTGCATGTGGAATAGACTAATCTTCCATTGTCTCCTAGAAGGGCCAGACCTCTCTTCAATATCCTGGTTTGCAGTCTATAATACAGAACACATTGTAAGCATATGCACAGGATGTAAAGTGCATGTGGAATAGACTAATCTTCCATTGTCTTCTAGCAGGGCCAGACCTCTCTTCAATATCCTAATTTGTAGTCTATAATACAGTAGATGAGACTTAAGAATTAATATTTAAATTATTTCAAACATTCAAACTTCCAAACAATTAGTTGACATGCCATCTTTTAATCATTATTTTTATTTATAAGAAAGCAAAAAAGAGCTGAAATATGGGAGTGAACACTGGGAACTAACTATACACTTGTTGACATATTTTGGGCTTTGGGACCTATTTACATACAGTACGCAAGTTATGCTGCTTGAAAGCCTAGTTATTTACATGTATATTGAAAAGGTCAAAATTATTAGACAGATTACGACTCAGCATTATTGTGAAATACAATATATTTCAACACTTCAAAAGATGGCAGTTGAACTGGTTTGTGAATTTCAAAAGATGGCAGTCAAGTTAGATTGTTAATTTCCAGGGACAACTCCAAACTCAATTCCCACAATGGCATGTTTTGTCAAATCTGCCTTCTAGGGAAGCTAGTAATGTAAAAACACATCATCAAGAAACACAAATTTAGCCTTGGATTGAATTAAACACCATCAAAATATTTGTTTAATTTAAAACATTCCATGGGCCGATAGAAATGTAAAATTACACCACAAAGAAATACAAATAAAATAAAAACATTTACCCATGAAGATTGTGCCCATTGGCAACTGTCCACTTTCCCCACACATCAGGGTTCTTCCTCATTGTCCCATCGCCACTGCAACACAAGAAATTGCCAGTAAAATGACATGAAAAGGATAATATAACAAGAGTGTCAAAATGTTATTTATCATGAATAAAGTGTCAGTAGGGTTCCCACCAGTAGTGTTTGGCTATCTCTGATTTTTTCAGTGTTCCGACTACTTTCTTACAAATTTTTTGACAAGAATGTCAAATTAGACTCCAGTGTTTCTTGAATTACTTTAAGACTTCGGCAGAGGTCTCAGACTACAGTGCGGGATGAACTGAAAAGTGGAGGAGCACTGGAGCATGATACAGAATGTACAAGGGGTGATCAAAAGATTTTGCAAGTGATTCTCTATCTCAGAAAATATCAATGTCATCAAACTTAACACAGAAATATCGACCACACAAATTGAATGTTATCTCATTGTGTTCAGTTATGTTCAGTTGTGTTCAGCTATGGTCAGTTGTGTTCAGCTGTGTTCAGTTATGTTCAGTTGTGTTCAGTTGTGCTAAGTTATGATAAGTTGTGTTAAGTTATGTTCAGTTGTGTTCAGTTGTGTTCATTTATGTTCAGTTGTGTTCAGTTATGTTCAATTATGTTCAGTTGTGTTCAGTTATGATTGTAAAGTAATCTCAAGTCTATCCACATACTTGATGAACACCCCATATGTATGCAGTAAAACTTCCCCAATCCAAACACCTCTGGGACCGGCCAAAAATGTTCAGATAAGAATGCGTCCACATTTTAAATGTTTTATAAAAGTCATTTTGGGACCAAGAAAAGTGTTCACATTTCAAGGTGTTCAGATTAAAGGTGTTCAAATTGTTGTTAGATAGTTTGAGATTTTAATCTACCTGCAAGGTACATCTGCTAAGACTCTATCATACATTAGACATTTCTTCTCCCCTGCACCCTGCAAATATAGCAATTCATCAATATAGCATGCTACAAATACTTCACTTTATAAAAGCAAATCACTGCAAAGTAATGTATATTGTACAAATATAGTATATCCAAAGATTTGATTTTGGGACATGTATGACACAGCAACATTTTTAAGCAATTAAAAAATAAAAATGGCACACTGCCAAACTTCCAGAGGTTTGCTAAGTTGACTGAAAGACATCAAGTTTATTCTGTATAAGTATTTCATGTCTTACTTACTGGATCACTAAGGAATATATTTGGCATTGTTGAAGCGTCATGGTTTATGATCATAAAGTTGGGACTTGCAAGACGTTTGACCTGATGTGTCATCATATAACATCTCTTGTTGTCAGCATCGTTAGCAATAACAAAACCCTCTGAAATAATACAATAGTAATGTTTGGCATTGTTGAAGCGTCATGGTTTATGATCATAAAGTTGGGACTTGCAAGACGCTTGACCTGATGTGTCATCATATAACATCTCTTGTTGTCGGCATCGTTAGCAATAACAAAACCCTCTGAAATAATATAATAGTAATGTTTGGCATTGTTGAAGCGTCATGGTTTATGATCATAAAGTTTGGACTTGCAAGACGTTTGACCTGGTGTGTCATCATATAACATCTCTTGTTGTCAGCATCGTTAGCAATAACAAAACCCTCTGAAATAATATAACAGTATTATGGTAGTACAATGATATTCATAGAAGGAAATACCCAAGAATTCATAGATGAGCCTATCTCTCATCATCTCCTTTTAGAAGTTAAACTTTATATAGCAAAAGGTTCATGTATGAATTCTGGGTATCCCCTGTTGGTCAAATTAAGCGTATAAACAATCTGAGGAAAACGAACAGTAGAAACTTCACCTCAGCCAGAAGTTATAATGACAGTAAAAGTGTCATTTAATTTTGGATAAATGTATACCACATGCACAGATTTGCATGTGAATAACACTTCCCCTGATCTGACCAAAGGATATTCACTGGAATGATGTCATGCCTAAACAAAGTCATGCCTAAATGAGGTCATGCCTAAATGAAGTCATACCAGCACAGGAGTCATCATAGAGGATCTTAAGTGATAGCCAACATGTACTATTTTCTTTATTATGATAATATTTCTACATTTGATAACAGGCCATAGCACAAGGTAATAGAGAGGTAGTTGACACAGGCATTATAAACTAATTATCAGTAGAATCCAATAAGTTAAAGGGCTAACAGCTGTGATTCTCACCCTATACAATGCTAAATTACAACCCTTTTATCTGAATATTAAATATATAATCACTATAAATAAACTAAGATATAAACCTCCATTTCTGAAATTCTCAAAAATTATTGTAGCTTTTTTTTGATTGCAACTAGCTGATGACTTTGTTTTCAACCTGGGATATTGACATTAAATAATATTTATATCTAATGATTTTGTTAGTTACATGATATTCTGATTTTAAATGATATATTATTGGTTACTAAAATTGCATTTATTACCCTCACCTCATGATAATACTAAATATTACGGTTCTCTACATTAACTAAGTTACAGTTTATATTTTTCGTTCCAGTTATATTCATATTTTAATTAACTATATATTATTCTATTTTGTATTCGAAAATGTGAACACCATTCTTTGATCCCATATTTTTTAAACAAAATTTATTCAAGGGAGGGATAATAAATTCCTCTATTTCTAGTTAATCTTTAACCATAACTATACATAAGATTGAGCCAATACATGTTTTAGAGCACACTCCTATTTTAAGGTCAACTGTATAAATTATACAAATTTTTGATTTTATAATTTCATAAGATTTTACTGATTATTTACACAATAAAAATGAATAAAATTATTGAGGAAATATTTGATACACTATTTGACAAACAGTGTTGGTAAACAACGAGCTGAAATCAATTTTTATTTTCTATAGATCATAAATCCATTTCTTACATCACTAGATATAAATATGATGCACATAGTATTTCTATTTGATATATGTAAGGGAAGTCAATGTTGGTATTTAAACAGGCACTTGAGCTTTGTCCCCTGAGCAACTCAACATATGTTTAATTTAAAGGGACGCTTCTTAAGGTCTTGTACATTGCAATTAAAGATAACCTCACATGTGATGTCACTCAGTCACATGATTCTTATCACTGATTCAATTGGTCAGTTTAAGTCACATGACATATAGAAGATATCTGATTGGACATGAGAAGTCCCATGTATTTGTGCTACATTATTGGCCTTATCTATAGGTGACTCACGGTTGTGAAAATATTCACTATTAGGTTCATGTTACAACAGAATATGGATGCTTTCATAAACAACACTGATGCCATTTGCAGCTATTTCCCGATATAACTGGATAAACAGTAAACATTTTAAATATTCATTTATAAATCAACAATACAACAAAGAGGAAAATAAAACATAAAAACAGACAGGAAACCATTAAAAAGAACAGTAAATAACTAAAACCTTTAAACATGGGGAATGAAGTTAGCAGTAGCCCTATACGCAAGGTAAAAAATCAGTGGATCAACTCAAATGGCGCAAAGTCAAAGCAAGTGATGTTATATGACACTGGCTTTGGGGAAAAGCGTGAAGAATCCTACATGGATGCGGCACTCACAGGATCCTTTGAGAATGAAATATATCCTTATGAACAAAAATCCACATTGGCAAAAAGTGTCATGGGAAAGTTTTATTTTCTCGATAGACCTATGATCAAGAATGAACATTTTGATACATACACAAATGCAGTTGAAAACCCTGTGTTTGTCCTTGGTGAAGATACAACCATCTGGGCACGTGCAATGTTTGGATGCGCACCAATGTATTACCCAATTGGCGAACAAACTCTACTTCCTACAGTTGATGAGGCAGAAAAAATCAAACACATTCCGAACAAAAATCGCGCTCTCCTCGGGAGCGTCCCTAAACTTTTTGCCTTGTATGTGAAGGTTAATGGGAAGCCTTACTGCCCTGCTAAGGTCTCAGGAGACTGTGTCAAACACATGCAATCACACAAAGAAACAGCTGGACTTGCAATCACTTCACCTATCAACAGATCATTCCTTTCATGGATGCCTGTGAATGAGTCAGACAAAAGCGTCTTTATTGATGTGCCAATCGTAGGCAACATTGACCAAGTCAGTAAGACCCCCGACACAGGGAAACATGGGAAAAGCTGTGCCGTTGTGTTCATAGACTTATTCAAATCACTTCCACCTGGACAGTACAAGATCGAACTTAACCTATTTTACCTTTACAGCCACATGGAGTACACTGTACTGAAGCTCTCTGAGGCTGATAACGTGGATGGCTACTGGGAAATGGATCTGTATAAAAACTCAGAACTCCTTCACCCTCATCCACATCCTCGTAACCTCAAATGCTGTGAGCAACCAATCGCAAATGGAATATTCACTGTTTGCATTCCTGGTGGATTAGCTGACCTTTGGGAGGAAATTCTTGATCGTAAAACTCCAAGGGAGTTATTCATGGAACGTGATCGTGAGCAGTATCGTGAAGAAGCATACAAATCAGTAGCAGAAGATGATTTTGTGGAGTACCACGAACTAGGGACCCCTACCCATATAGTTTTGGCTAGTCCAATACGTTTCCACACATATACAATGAAAAAAGGACTTGCACAGATTAATCACATGTATGAATCCATAGAGGTGGTCATATTATGGGCACGCGGTAAAAAGCCAGAAAAAAATGGCAAACTCCTTGACCAAGCGATGATAGTCCGTGGGGATACCCCAATAGGGCATACGGATGTATGGAAACTATGCCCGAGGCCATTCGTTGACACGAAGGAGTGGGAACTGAAATCTGTGAAAAACAAACACATATTTGAGGCAATAGATGACTGTAGGGCCCTACCAAGGCGTAGGAGATCCACAATGAAGTCAATGGGATCATCATCACTGAACGGCAGTGGAAGTCGACTATCTGATGGATACGTAGAGGTGAGGCGTGTAAGTAGAAATCTCGAGGATGACTTACCACAGCCTTGATGAAACTAAATGAAAATCACAAGTGACACTACACTTTTTTGATGATTCACAATGTGCAGACAGTACATTGCATGAACAAGAACCAAATTATCAAAGGATTATTCTGGCGAAAAACAGACATCCAACCAACTACCATTTAAAGTACTTTAGTTAATACATTATCTGTCAATTTTATATATGTGTGGTTAAATATTCCAATGAATGAGATTTCATCCAAAATAACCTCACATTTAAATGAGAATAACTATAAGTCAAGACTTACTTGATCATTATTCAATTAAAATATGGATAGTCTTACCCTGATCAGGTTTATGGTGTAAGACATACATATTAATACCTTGAACTGAGATAAAGCTGTTAATCTGTCTGACTGCATTTAGTGTATATGCATATATACTGTAGATATCCTTGTAAATATCAGCTTATTTATTTGTATATTTTGGCATGTCTATAGAATGTACTTGTACTGGGCAGTAAACAGTGATCTCTAAGAACTGTTCTCAACATGAGGGGGGGAGCAAATATCATTTTACCTGATTTTGTAAAGAAATCTTATGACTTCACCTTTTAAAAAATTCCATAACGTTTTAGTGTGCATCACCATTTTGCCTATTTCTCAAGATGGAAATCATGATGTCACAGTAGAAAACAGTTACACTTGGCGGGAATCCTAAATAAAAAAATTTGAGAACTCCACAGTTATATTCTATACCTGTTTAAAAGTGGTTTTCAAAAATGTTATTTGTCAAAATAGGTTATCACATCAACTGAAATATATAGTTGTTATACACTTATCAAATATTGTAATATATGTCGGTAAAGATATGACCTGAGAGACTTGAGAACAAGTAGCTTGTACCCGCAAGAAAAATTCCACAACAGCCAATGTTTTGAAAAACAGAACAGAATGAAAATGCATGAAATTAGCAAGGAATAAAGTAAACAGGACCGAGGTTAACACTCTAAATTGTATGGAAATTCTAGAAAATCATGCTTTTATTCAAACTCGAGAGATAAAGTGAGAAATAGGCATGAGAGATATGATTTTTCTCAATGGTGTGGTTTCAATGTTAGACTTGAATAAATCAACATAGTATGCAAGTTGTGATAAACACACCTCAAAGTAAACAATGATTTATCTCAGGTCGCAATTGAATTTCACAATTCATTGTTGAGACTGCATTAACAATTTTTTTTCAAATAAAAATATTAAATAGATTAAATGTACTATTCTAGTCAATGTATTATATGCATAATATATGTATTTTAAAATTTTTATTGAAATCTAGAATCAAGCTTGAATATAAAGCAAGTATACATTGTGGTCTAAATTTTTGAATAGATTTGCATGCCTTCAAATTTTTTTTGCAGAGTTCATTTGATCTAGGGAAAAACACATTATCTAAATTATGTAGGGAATAAGCATTTTCGTTTCTTGATTTTGTTGACACACTTTGAAATTTTTCTCCAACGGGTCAAATTATAGTGGACATTACCTGAGTGAAATAATGTGGAATTTTTCACATGATTTTTCTTCCTTACTATCATTTGTCTAAAATAAGGGCATTATCACAACACTGTATGAATATGTATTCTGTACATGGTGCATGTATTAATTGTAGAGTAAATAGAAACACATATACATTGTATTTATATTGCAGGAATGTTATCTTTATTGTTAAACCATCAATTAGTCAATTAATATCTTGAGTTAGAATAACATGTGAGTCAATGTCAACTATATGTAATATAGATAGGAAAAATAAACAAAACTAGAATTTAGTAAACAAACTAACTCCGGGTATTGTTTTGTTCAAGAATGGCTATTATAAATATATCTCTCTATGAATTCTGCGAACATCTCTTCACAACTAAAAAAAAAAAAAAAAAGAAGTTTTCATAAGAAAAATGCTTTCAATGGTGTGTCCCCTGGCAAAATGTTTGAAATACAAAGGGGTATTCACTTGAAACAAGTGTTCATTATATAGAGGTTTTCATTAAGGAGCTGACTGCAAAGTATTCCACATGGAGAGGGTTTCATGTGGGATCTAGGTTCACTAAAAGTGTTCATTTGAGAAATGAAGATGCAATATAAACAGGTCTTCACAAGTGTTCATAAGGGACTATGTATTCATTGAAATAAAGCATTTATTTATATGATAGGTGTTCATTAGAAAAAATTACGAGAGCTAAAATAGGTGTTTACAAAAGGCTTAACCAGGATTAACTAACATTCCACTGAAGTTTCCATGTCACATACATGTTATTGCCTGAAAGCAGGATGTCAAGTACCACTCTGATGAAATATCATAAATAGCTGAAACAAGAGTGATCTGTTGATTAAGCTCTCACTATTGGCTATAATTACCTAGAATTGCATCATGGCTATGATTTAATTGATAAGAGGACATGATTTATTGGACTCTGGTTAAATAATATTGCATATTACATGTATTACTAACCAATCCTATTAGTTCAAGATTGCCATTCTCCAAAAAATGCAGAAATAGTGAAACTTTTAAGATTAAATGATACATTAGGAACAGGTGTGAATTATCATAGAAATATAGGATTCCCCTCCCAAATATTGTGAAAACAAATATTAAATGACAAAGATGTTGTACTATCGATAACGTATCTGTCATACAACAATCACTGCAGTGTCAATGACCTCCACATCATAACTTCTCAAAAGGGGGCTCAATCCCTAATTTACCTTTTCTGGTCAGATTTCCAACCAATGGGACTTAAACGTTTTGAATTTCAGATTTCAAAAGGGTGCAGTGCATGGTTGCTCTAATGCTGGGGAGTTCAACAATCCAATTGGTCAAGACACTGAAGAACATAGGCATTACAATGCAAAATATCATCATCTGGCATTTGTTACAGACACCGACCACCAACACAAAACATAGTCTACAAAAAATGGAGACTATAACAATATATCACCACTTCTGGTGGTGTCATAAAAACCAGACATAGGGGTTAGGGTTAAAGCTATGAAATGATAAAGAGAACATGTATAGAATAAATCATCTACTTAAAAAATGTGACTTGGCGTAGTGCCTCAAAAGGAATATCTTGATTTAAGAGTTCAGATAAAGTGAATCTCTGGTCAAGGGTAATAATCTAATATTGAAGTTCATTGCAAATGTCAGACAAACTTGTTGAGATAAAATTTCCCAAAGAGTTCACTTGACCTTCAACTTTGCCTAGCTGAAGTAGGGTATGGGTGACTATAAACAAACTTCAACTATATTTACTGAATTCCAACAATCAATTTAGTGTTTATGCAAATTCCGAAATACAGTAAAACCTATGCCAGTGCAGTGGAAAAACCTTGAGATTTATGTGGTACGACATACAGTAAAACTTGTGCAAGTGGAACAACTGAGATTTATGCAAATAAAAACATACAATAAAACCTGTGAAAGTCAGAAGAAGTGAGTAGCTCACTCTATCATATGATATTCAAAATAGCGGACAACTGCCAGTTGGATTCCTATATGGTCCTATAAGCCTAATATTGATCTATCACATGGGTACCTCGTGCCCGAATACGAAGGCTGAACTTTGGGAGATCTCCCCCCTGTGTGAAAGAAAAACAACCTTGGGCAAGTACAGACTCTAAAGGGTCGGAGAAACTAGTTCTGAGGGGACAGTAGCTTAATACTTTTTGTATGTTCTTCAAACCATTGCTAACTCAACATCCCTAAAACTGAAATCCATAATGCTGAAATCTCAAGCACGATGGCAATAGTGTACATTCAGCATCATTAACTAGTGACATCTATAAAAGAAGATACAAATGTTTCACAAATTCTGACAAATTATAAACCCCATCAAATGCTCAAATGATTATTACACCCTAGGTATTCCATGAAAATCTTGTTAACTTTAAATTGCTTAATAGAACAAATATTTGATTGGACAATAAGCTCGCAGCTCAAGATTAAATAAAAGTTAGAATTCTAAAAAAAATATTATATTACTATTTTCTTTCTGAGTGGATAATAAGCTTAAAATAATATTATACCTGGTAGTTTAATCGATTCATCTGCATGTAGATATTCGATCAGCTGTGCTGTCTTGGACCCAGGCGCAGCACACATATCCAATACCTAAAGGGTAACATGAAGATAACAATGTACTACAAAAGAGTTGCATTATTATCAATCAATTCATACCAGAAATAAAGATAAAGAACAGTCCCCAGTGATCTCCACAAGATTATTTTCTCAAGTGGGTGCAAAATTCTCATTTTAACAATTCAGACCAAAATTGGTCAAAATATGTCAATTTTTCATGATTTTTTCTCATTTTCAAGTGGGTGCAAATGGATTTTCAAGTGGGTGCAAGCCTGTTTTCAAAACCTCAGGTGGGTGCTGCTCCCACTTGCTTTAATGCTGGGGAGATCACTGGTCCCATTAGTTGGACTGAGATGGTGAAGTATGAGCTTGGACTTATGGTGTAAATTACCAGCATGGACCCCAAATTAAAGGATATGACCACACAGGGCGATAACATGCAAAATGTCACCACCTGCCATTTGTTACAGATGCCATTTATAAAAGACACAGACTGCCTGAGATCAAACGCCGAACACCGTACCGGCTAACGTCGACAATAAGTTGGAGACTGTCACAATCAAAATCAATTAAAAGACTGAGGTTCTGTTTTTCTTAAAATTGAAGGAGCGGTTAAAAAGGGGAGGGGGTTAAGGGAGGGTGGAAGGATACAGAGAAAGGGTTATATTTGAAAAATATCATTTTATTATATTATATTGTACCTTATGGTGGGGTTTTATGTCCATCAGCAAAGGAGGAATCATACTGACAGCCTCCTGGCGACTGATGTTACCCTGAAATAATAGAAAATACACTAAGAATTTGTTTGCATTTGACAGCGCATGCCAGTTTTATCAAATAATACTGGGATGTTGGGGCTTGTCGGTATAATAGTTCAGAAAGTGGTTATAAAGTACAGTAAAACCTATGAAAGTGGAAAACCTTTGGTACATCTAATAAGAGTTCAGCCTCAGAGTTGTTCAACTTATACAGGCTAATTCAACATTGAATCAATTGGTCCTGAGTCTGTGAAAGATATCGAATTACATTTGTTTCACACTATCAGATGTGTCCTACTTTAGAGATTTTACTGTTTATTAAATCAACAACGTTTACAGGAGAGTATAAGGATTCGAAAAACCAATCATACCACTTACACTTTCCGTCTCTGATATGAGGAATTTGTGCAGTTTCTCCAATGGTGGGGATTTGCGAACCATCTGTTTTGTCAAATTAATCTGCCAGCCACAACCATCAGGGTACCTTTAAAGAGATTTTATGATATATTTTTAAGAAGTTATTTCTTTGGTGAACATAATAAATTATGGAACATCTTTTTCTTTCTTTAAGAATAAAATATGGAAAATTAGCATTTTTTCAAATTTTGCTTCTTGAAGATTCAAATTAAGTTATATCTGAGACTGGTATTACAAGTTTAAGGGTGTCTCTTCAATGAACTGAAAAATCATGTAAAGATCACAAATTGTAATTTGATAATATTTTGAGACATTTTAAGGCAATGTGGCTATAATTATTTTTATTTTATTCATTTTTTATTAATTCATTAAGCTATACATTGAAACATGGAAATAAATGGGTGACACAAATTGTGCATATATCTCGAATACATGATGAATCATACATAGAAAGTTTAAATTATCAAGTAATAAATGAAGTTACCATGGCAACGTAGATGGAGGGTCAACTTTCTTGCCTTCAATTTCAATATCAACCATATTGCTGAAGAAGTCACTCTTTATAATCTTTAATAGTTCCTGCACCTCACTGTTATATAAATACAATTATTACATATAAAACTAGAATGGCAGAATGTGATTGGTTAAACCATGTCACATGACCATATTACTGAAGAGGTCACTCTTAATGATCTTAGTTCCTGCACCTCACTGTAATATAAATACAATTATCACATATTAAACTAGAATGGCAGAATGTGATTGGTTAAACCATGTCACATGATCGTATTACTGAAGAAGTCACTCTTAATGATCTTAGTTCCTGCACCTCACTGTAATATAAATAAAATTATCACATATTAAACTAGAATGGCAAAATGTGATTGGTTAAACCATGTCACATGACCACATTACTGAAGAAGTCACTCTTAATGATCTTAGTTCCTGCACCTCACTGTAATCTAAATAAAATTATCACATATTAAACTAGAATGGCAAAATGTGATTGGTTAAACCATGTCACATGACCATATTACTGAAGAAGTCACTCTTAATGATCTTAGTTCCTGCACCTCACTGTAATATAAATAAAATTATCACATATTAAACTAGAATGGCAAAATGTGATTGGTTAAACCATGTCACATGACCATATTACTGAAGAAGTCACTCTTAATGATCTTAGTTCCTGCACCTCACTGTAATATAAATACAATAATCACATATTAAACTACAATGGCAAAATGTGATTGTTTAAACAATTTCACTTGACAATTTAAAAAGATTTTTTATTTATTTATTTATTTATTTCATATAATACATACAATAGTTAACAATGAAGTGGGTGACACAAAATTTGTGTATATTCCCACAGATGGAGTGAGTAAAATACAAGTATGTTACATTATGCAGTTTGGGGATCTGCCGTGGCATGCCCTCGACAAAAAAATATAATATGTGCCATCAAATTGCCCAAGGAAGGAATTAAAGTTGCAATAAATATTTCTTGGTTTGTTTTTTCATGAAAATGGTACTTTTGATGGATTGAATGTGCGGGGGTAGTTGGTTCCAAATATCAGGTATAGAATACGCTAACATTGATTTTCCATAGTTAGTGCGGGTTTTTGGCTTGTCATAAGATTTCTTATTTCTTGTGTTGTAATTGTGTCTATTCTCAACTGTTTTGAAAAAAGATGGGAATATTTGTTTGTAATTATCCTTGTCGTTGATCCATTTAAACATAAAAATATATCTCTGCTGCTTATTTATTTCAAATATGTTCAATATTTTTAAGTCATGAAAAAGAGGTAGGGAGTGAGCTCTAAAATCACTATTTGTTGCAATTCTTACAAATTTTTTCTGTGAGAGATGAAGGGTATTTAGTAATGTACAGCCTGCTTCACCCCATACTATATTTCCATAGATAAGGTATGAATAAATCAAAGAATAATATATACTAAGTAGGCTTTTGACATTTAATAAATGCTTCACTTTGTATAATATACCAATGGTTCTTGATATTTTCATGTTTACGGATGTTATGTGATTTTTCCAGGTTAAATTTTGATCAATTATGATTCCTAAAAAGTTTATATGTGACACCTGTTCAAGTACTTTGTCATTCATAGTGATATTTATTTCATTTTTATTATAATGCTTTTGTCTTGAAGAAAATATAATATATTTAGTTTTCTTAGCATTTAATGAAAGTTTATTTGTGGCTATCCATTCCTCGATTAGTTTCAGTTCAGCATTCAAAGCATTTGTAATTTCATTAAGATTTTTTCCTTGTATTAACAGATTAGTATCATCTGCAAATAGCACAAAAAATAATCGTGGAGAGGATAAGTAAATGTCATTGATATATATGATAAAAAACAAGGGACCTAGTACAGAGCCTTGTGGAATTCCACATGTAATTATCTCAGAATCTGAAATAGTGTCTTTGTAACAGGTTTTTTGGATTCTATTAGAAAAGTAACTTTTGACCCATTCCAGTGCAACACCACGTATCCCATAAAACTCAAGCTTTTGAAAGAGAATATTGTGGTCTATAGTATCGAATGCTTTAGAGAAGTCAAGAAATAACCCTATAGAGAATTCACCTTTATCTATAGAATGTCTAATTTTTTCAACAAATGTGAGTACAGCCATGAATGTTGACTTTTTTTCTCGAAAACCAAATTGATAAAGATACAAAATTTCTGTTTTGTCGAGAAAGGAAGTCAGGCGATGATGCATTAGTTTTTCAATTAATTTGGAGAAGACTGGTAAAATCGAAATAGGTCGATAATTTGTAAAAAGTTGACTGTCCTCCTTTTTATGAATTGGAATTATTTTTGCAATTTTTAATTTGTCAGGAAAAATACCATTTGTTAGAGATAAATTGAAAATGTGTAATAATGGTAATTGGAATGCCTTACCACAATGCTTAATTATGGAAGGTTTGAAATCATCAAAACCGGCCGCAGAGTTTTTTAATTTAGATATTTCCATGTCTAACTCATTAGAGTCAATTGGATTCAAAAATAAAGTTGAAGCTTGTCTGCCAAGATTTTTCATGTAGTCTAAAGGACTTTTATTTGTAGAAGGAATTTGAGCTGCTAGGGTTTCACCTACCCTTGAAAAGAAGGAGTTAAATTGGTTAGCAATGTCAAGTTTATTACTTATTTCAGAATTGTTATGGAAAAAAGAGTCTGGGATATTGTGGTTTTTATTTTTTCTTTGGAGAATTTCATTAATAATTTCCCAATTAGCCTTAATGTTTCCTTGATTTTCCTCAAATTTTCTACTAAAATAACGTTTATGTGCTGATCTTATGATTGTTTTTAGCATTTTTGAGTAGACTTTATAATTTGCCTTATTTTGATTTGTCGGTAAACGAAGATATTTCTTATATAATTTGCTTTTTTGTCTTACAGATACAAGTATAGCTGTTGTAATCCAAGGTTTTTCATTATTATTATATAATTTAACAGATATTGTTTTTATTGGGAAACTTTCATCATAAATTTCTTTAAGGCGGTTTTCAAATAAATTGTAAGAAGTATTTGCGTTGTCACTATTCAAAATATCTGCCCATGATTCTTTTGCTAATTTTTCTTGGAAAGTAGTGAGATTATTGTCAGAGTATTTTCTAATTGATTTGTTAATTACTTTTATCTGATGAATCGGTTTATTAAAAGTAGCAAATATAGGGAAGTGATCTGAAATGTCATTAAAAATTATTCCACATAATCCATTTTTGATATCATTTGTAAAAATGTTGTCAATTAATGTTGCTGTACTTGAAGTCACCCTGGTTGCTTTGTAAATAAGTGGTATTAAATTATAAGATGTCATGATGTTGTAGAAATTTTCAGTTGGCTCATGCTGATTGGTCTTAAATAAATCAATATTAAAATCACCCATTACATAGTTTGTTTTGTTTTCTCTGGATAAATTATTAAAATAGACTTCTAGACTATTATTAAATTCTTCGATATCTACATTAGGAGGCTTATATATACAGGTTAAGAGTATGTTTTTGCCATTGCTTACAATAACCTCAATTGTCAAAACATCGCATCCTAAATGATTAAATTGAAGATCTGGTCTTTCTTTAACGTTAATAGTATCCTTGATATAGAAACCAACACCACCCCCTCTAGTTGATCGAGATTTAAAATAACCTTTGAAATTCATTAGTTTTGAATATTGTGATTCTTGATCCTCATAAAGCCATGTTTCAGAAAGGCCAACAATCGATGCTCCCTTATCAAGTGATGACAAAAGATTGACTAATTTCCATTGATTTGACGGCATACTTCGAATATTACAATGGACTATAGCCATATCAACATTGTTGTTAGCATTCAAATTATTGTTCAGTTCAGTTAAGGTTACATATTCGCTCTTTGCCATAATTTCATTGGTAGTCACATCGAATCCAGGAGCATCAATCATTTCCCCTCGCATGTCAAGTGGATTGAAAAGTTTATTCTCGAAATGTATAAGTATATTTCCATTTGGAGCTGCCTCAATAAAATCATTATGATCATTCACTATGTAAAATGGCATTTCAGACCATGGGCATGGCACCGGGGTAATTATGTTATCCCCCATCTAGTAAGTAAATGAGCACATGCTTGGCAGATCCCCTATAGTATGTTAATCTCAATGTGAATTGAGACATGCTGTTCTGTGAACACAGAACTAGGTAAGATGTAAGGAGCAACAACATTTGTGGCTCTGTTAAAGTGACATATAAGCATACCAGTGAATGTAAGAACCAAAACAAAATAACTTTAATAAGCTATATATTAAGAACATATAAGTTGCGCTTGTGACAAAGTGGTGGATAAAAATAAAACACAAAAATAATTATAACAAACTACCTGCCTCAATAATCTTGATAGCAGGACAACATTCTTCCTAATGTTGTTTTAAGTTGAAGAGAAAACATAAATTTATAGAAAGCAGTGCTTCATTAAAATGGATTGATATATACTGTATGCATATTTTCAACAGATCATTTCAAATTTAATCCTCAGTTGTACTTTCAAAAGAGGATCCTAATCAAAATACATCATGTACATTTAAATAAGGGTTGACCTGAAGTTGTGATGTGTACCTGTATTTATAGGTAATATACCAAAGATATATATCAAAGAATGAAGACATTATGCGAGACACAACTGTATGTCAGATTCCCTACTCAATGTTTCTACTTTCAGGTTGTCATTCATAAGAAGGTATCACATTAAGTTTATATATAGATGGCAGTGTTACCCTAGAAAGAATTCATACAGACATACAGTCATCTGCACATCTCAAAATAAAAGCACTTTCATTGAACTACATGTACCCAACACTCCAGGAAATTATAGCTACATACAATATGTATATTTGAGGGGGTTTACCTAGGGAGTAATGAACAACTTATTTGAAGGTGGCTGAATTATACCAGAGAGACTTCCCAAATGAAAGTCACTGATAGAAATTAAACATTAAAATGATGGAGCAAATAGGTGTGGTTCATGTTTAGTTTCCAAAAACAGCCAGATATACAGTCAAATGCACACTACAAAATTAAAATTTCATGATGAATTGGTCATCACAGCACTGCAATAATATTTACATTGGCTAATTGCCATATCAGAAATCCAATGAGTGGTCTAAGTATAATACTCACCAGCTTAATTATTTACAACAAACAATATCAGTCTATAAAAAGCCCATTGAAGTATTACAGAAATGCTAGAAAAGCATTGAATATACCCTTGCTAGCTTTTTTGATAATTAACTTGTTATATACACTGGTAAAAGAAAATTGATAAATCAACATTCAATTTACTTAATTAAGAGTTCCATCTCAAGAGTTTAATCAGTAATAAACATGTGAACCTGGTAAACTCGAATTTATGAGCAAAAGTGGCTATGTACTACCAGTATGTTGCACATAAACAAGAATTTTGCCGAATTTGTATTATTGAAATGTAGATATAATCAAAATTATGTTACACAATTATTTGTTAACATATGATAGAAGGACTAATTCTGAATAAGAATAAAATGTTCAAAATAATGGAAAGTCAATAGCATCAATCATACTTACACTTGATGCAAGTATTAAGATGGAGGTTTGTATCTGGAAAATGCATTGTTCTGAGTCTTAAAGACCCATGTCACTGATTTGGAATCGTTGGATAGAACCACTTTTCAGCTTACCAATGATTTTGCCATTCGTGCTCCATGCAGATTCTACATCAGGTGATTTCTTAATGAAGTCGAGAAGTTCTCTGTTGAGGGGGCTTAAGTCCTCAAATACTAATATGTTAGACCCTTTAAGGTTCTTCTTGTTTCTCATGATAATATCTTTGGTACCACGGAACTTCAAGCGAACAATGATATGCCTGGGTTTTGAGTTGTTTCCATTTGTGATACGTCCAACCCTGTGTGCTATTTCCACATCTGTAGCTTTGAGGTCTTCGTGAACTTTGTGCTGCACGAGAGCTTGTACCACTTTTTCCGCGCAATTCTCACCATCATTTTCAGCAATGCCTAGAACACGGATTGTGGTACGCCTACTATATTGGGCATTATGATTGGAGGCATAACGGAGATCTTTGATTTCAACTTGGAGGCTGGCCACATCTTTCTTAAGTAATTCATTTTGAGTTTCTAAAGATGACAATTTGTTGTTGATTGGCTGTACGGTGGCATTAATCAGTTTTTCCACGTTCACCATATGTGTTTGAAACTGATTATCAAAGTGCTGTTGTAGGTTAGTAAGATCCCTCATGGTTAAGCTTCTATTTGGGTCATCATGTTGCATCGTCAGTGATTGGTCATGTTGTTGTGGTGGGGGCTGGCCCTGCGGATTAAGGGTGATTGGTGTTGATTCCCTCACTACAATATAACCTGGGGCTCGCTGAGTAGGCATAGGTGTAGCAGGAATGAATGTTGGAGCCCTAAGGTTAAACGGTTGGCGTGGTTGGAACGGAGTACTTGTAGACATGATTGGATTGGTCATGGATGAGCTTGATGCCTGTGAGTTGGTGACTGTAGTTGTGATATTAGCAGTTGAAGGTATCTGGTATGGGGACACCAGACCACTAAATTGGCTACCCCAAGACTGATTTGCAGTATTGTCAAGTGTAATAGAGCTATGCTGTACATCCATAGGAGTGCTCATTTTTAAGCCTTGTTTATAAACAAAACAAGATATGAGTAAGTCACAGTTGGAGAGTTCAAAAAGTAGATCAACTATAATCCCTAAGTTTGTTGAATGTTGTACACAGGGGTTACTATATGGGTCAAAGTAAAATGGCAACTACTAAATATCTAACCTTTCATACGTTAGTGTCAAACTTTCTCCATCTAATTTGATCTTCTTAGCGCATATATCCATATAAAATTATATCCAGAGATTCCTCAAGTACTCATATTGAAGATTGTGTCATTTATTAGGTTTAGATTAGGCATTAACATGACAAAATGTCACCACCTAGTTGCTCACAATATTATGAGTTCAATCTTAAGTCAGATTTGAATCTCTGAGAACTTAGAGATGATTTTGAAAATTTGGTCAATTTGAAGCAAGTTGAAAAAGACCTTTTTTGACTCTGAGAAGGTGAAATCTCAAATCATTCAAGGTGAAATCTCAAACTTAAAGTCAGATTTGAACGTCTGAGAACTTGTAGATGATTTTGAAAAAAATTGGTCAATTTGAAGCTAGATGAATAAGACCTTTTTGAAGGTCAAATCTTTTTTTCAGATTTGAACTGTTGAGAACTTGTAGATAATTTGGAAAAAAGGTCAATTAGAAGCAAGTTGAAAAAGACCTTTTTGACCCGGAGAAGGTCATTCAAGGTTCTCAAATCTGAAGTCAGATTTGAACTTTTGATACCTTGTAGATGAGTTTGGAAAAAATTGGTCAATTTAAAGCAAGTTGAAAAAAGACCTTTTTGAACTTTTTTACCTTGAAAAGGTCATTGAAGGCCAAATCTTAAATATAAAGTCAGATTTGAACTTCTAAAAACATGTAGATAATTTGTTAAGTTATCAGAAGTTGTGAGAATTTGTTACAGATGCTGATCACCAACCACCAATCGCCATCAAAATAAAACAGAGATCATAACAATATGTCACCACTTTTTGGTGGTGACATAATGACTATACTTGTAAAAAATTTGAAGGACTTCGTCAATATATTTTCAAAAATAATTGTTTCGCTAACCTCTTAAACCCTGTTCCTCTAAATGTAATAGGAAGGGGCTCTCTCATTGTTGCCATAACTGTACTAACCTCTTGAACCCTGTTCCTCTAAATGTAATAGGAAGGGGCTCTCTCATTGTTGCCATAACTGTAATAACCTCTTGAACCCTGTTGCTCTAAATGTAATAGGAAGGGACTCTCTCATTGTTGCCATAACTGTACTAACCTCTTGAACCCTGTTGCTCTAAATGTAATAGGAAGGGGCTCTCTCATTGCTGCCATAACTGTACTAACCTCTTGAACCCTGTTGCTCTAAATGTAATAGGAAGGGGCTCTCTCATTGTTGCCATAATTGTACTCACCTCTTAGACCTGTTGCTCTAAATGTAATAGGAAGGGGCTCTCTCATTGCTGCCATAATTGTACTAACCTCTTAAACCCTGTTGCTCAATATGTAATAGGAAGGGGCTCTCTCATTGCTGCCATAATTGTACTAACCTCTTAAACCCAGTTGCTCTAAATGTAATAGGAAGGGGCTCTCTCATTGTCGCCATAAAAGTTTCCCATTCATCTTCAGGTATAATATTCTGCATCTGAAAAGCAACATGTTAAGCAAGGTTAATTTGGGATTCTCATGGATTTTTTTTCTTTGTATTTGTCTCATGGATTTTTCTCAAATTCCCATTTGCTTTGTTTGTATTTGTCTCATTTTCATGTGGGTGCAAGACTATGCTTCTTACAAAATCACAAGTTGACAAATGATCCAGTTGCTTTAAAGCCATGAGGACCTACACTTTCTTGAGAAGGGTAGACAGATGACAAATGTGACTTAACTTTAATCTAGCTACAATACTATGAGTCTACTAAACCACATAATAAAGTTGCATACAAAATTTACTGGGAGTTCATCTTTTATAAAGTCTTTCAAAGTTAGTTTTACTTTACCCAATTATGTTACAGTGAGTTGTATGGGCACTGTGTCAAATAATACAGACTAAAAACTATCCTTTTGACACCTTCTTACCTTGTAGAATGTTTCAAACATTTTGTTATTTTTGTCTGTCATCTTGTAACCCCAAGGCTCCTACAAGTACATAAATAAAAAATTTAATTATTATTGAATAACAAACAATTACAACATACCGGTATTAAAAATACTCAAAACATAGTTATGAATGCTTTTGGAACTGAGAACAGGGATGCAACATCATCCATGTAGGCAACTGGCACTGAGGGTCTGACAATTGCTGTTTTCCAACGAGTGTAGAATTCACCATATTGAATGGCCTATCATTATTTACTCCGATTCAAACATAAAAAAGAAAACCTTGTTAAAAAATTGGGGATTTAGATCAATGAAAATAACCAAACTTGCTGTTATTTTCGCCACTCCCAGGTGTGATATCATGATACAACACAATACATAAACATAGATTCCTCGAAGCAGATTGATAGAGCGTGGTCGTGGCTGTATATAGACCATTCATTATTGGTTATGCTCTGAGGGTAAAATATAGTTTGAACCATGGACTTCAAATTGATGTTGGAAATTCCAAGAAAAAATGAGACCCTATCTGTTGCAAGACTAACGCCTGGCGTAACCGTCACCATGTTATTCGGTGTTTTTTAAGTAGCGCAAGGATCCTGCCATGACCGTGGTAATGTTATCGTGAAAGCCTGGTATAACCGCGACAATGCTGTATTATATTAAAATGCCTGCCATGACCGTGGTAGTGTAATCGTGTAAGCCTGGCGTGACCGCAACCTGTATATGACATTAATGACCTTCATGTTTCGCCCATTGCTGTTGGTATTTTTTATGGATAAATCTTATTAATTGATCATTCACTACGGGCAAATTATTGATATGACGCGCCAATTTCGTCTTATGCTTTTCACTCTAAAACCTACCGCTAGGTGTTCACGCGCTCCCGGTCTATACTTCTTGTAAAACCCGCTTTCTTGGTGAGCAGAATAGAATTGCTTAAAATTAACAGATTTTTCTGATTTTTTCAATGGTGGTACTAGGGGGTCTCTACTGCATGTTTATCTAAATTATAAGTTGCTATGGTGTCAAATGTTTTCGTCATCTTTCTGTAAATAACCTTGAAAACATCGTGAGTGCAAAATTGTTGCGTCAAACAGACATGTTTAGGTTGGTCGCAGGAGAAGCCGTTTTACACCACTGTTCTTGGACGTATTCCGAAAATAATTTCACGACAGTAATCATTATGAATGTAAGTATTAAAGTAATTAAATTCACATCCATACTATGAGTGTAAGTTATGTTTTCTTATGTCTAAATATCGAGGAATGAACTGCGCTGGCAGTCAGAAATAAACTTTTGATGATTGAACCGTTCAGTGTATAGCGTAAACTTTAGACGGACAATTCAATAACTTAATGTGAATGGATTTTTAAATAGATTTCAGATTCATGATCATATTAATATGTAGATTAGAGGGTCTTTATTTTATAATTCTATGATTTAAATGTACTGAGTAGTGGGTGCATCAACATTACGCATTGGCAACGCTTTTCTCAAGTGAAATCAGACGAAGCTCACGCGTAAATATTGACCAACGTTTGTGTTTACACAGTCGTATTTCAAAAGTAAAGCATTATTTTAAAAATCTAAAACGATACGATTGCGATTTAGAGTTTCTAGTTTTTGAATATGTGAATTTAAATTAATTTTATTTATAAATGAAAAAAATGAACCAAGGGTGAAAGTATGACTATCCATAGACGTCCTTGGACTATCAAATCGTTCGTTTTAATGACTTGACCAAATGTAGCAAAATGTAGCAAACTGGGAAGTACATTTTAAACATACGACTTTTACACACGCACGGACGTATAAGAACCAGATAAGTACAGCTGTTCACGTTCTCCAAATAAAAGGTCTCAATCTTTCTCCATTGACGGTAACATAATAATTCTGCACCTGGAGATGCAACATTTCGTCCAGTGCGATCGTGATCAGCGCACCTAGCGGATGGCGCGTCATATCAATAATTTGCCCGTAGTGATTATAGAAAGTATATGCTTTCGAATCGAAGCTCTTTGAATGAGAGTAGAGATATAGTTTGTTCGCAAATTATTTATGAGTAAAAATTAGGTTTTCGTTGTGAAATTAATACACATTTTTAAAAATAGTAGTCTTTATTTACATATTTAAGGTAGTTAAACACGAAGAAAAATTGTCATTACAGTGTTCTCATGCTACTTTAAATACAACCACGGTCATGAGAGGCCTTGGAACTATTGTCACGGTCATACGAGGCTTTAACATTACCACGGTCATGACAGGCCTTGCAATATAATATAGCATTGTCACGGTTATGACAGGCCTTGCAAGCATTGTAACGGTCATATCAGGCTTTAACATTACCACGGTCATGACAGGCCTTATAAGCATTGTCACGGTCATATTAGGCTTTAACATTACCACGGTCATGACAGGCCTTGCAACCATTGTCACGGTCATACGGGGCTTTAAGGTACAGCTGGAAAGTAACATTTTGGTAAAAAATTGCTATACCAGCACATGTTATTTTCTGGTACAAAATAAAGTATGAAGACATTTGTCAATTGCCTTGCTTTTTTCAGGAAAGTATCATTGCATTGTCTTCTTTAAGAATATCTAGTAGGAGTTCAATGGGAACTCCAGGAAACTCTGATATTTCACACTTTCTGTTTTTCCAAATTTTCTTTCAAAGTTTCCAGACAACACAGGAGCTACAATTGACCTGTTTCCAGGTTTACTAAAAGTAGACAGTGTAATGATACTTTCCTGAAAAAAGCAAGGAAATAAACACATGCCTTCATACTTAATTTTGTACCAGAAAATAACATGTGCAGGTATAGCAATTTTTTACCAAAATGTTACTTTCCAGCTGAACCTTAACATTATCACGGTCATGGGCAGCTTGGGTCAACATTCATAAAGACAGAGACATATAATGTCTCTGGTAAAATATACAAATATACGAATATTTAAAAGTGGATAGTAAACAAATCGCTTTACAAACAATAATAAAAAATTCTTAAATTAAACGTTAAGGCTACGGCTGCGCCAGGCTTCCACGATAACACTCATGGTTTACTCGAGTCTCTAGCCAATTCTTGGCTAGAAGTGTTTCCATCTGGAACACCGTGAACTATTGTAAAATCTTAAGCCGGCGTTCAATGAATTTATGTAATATTCTAAAAATCATTTTGTTAATATTTCATGAATTGAAATGATAACGGCTTATCTTATTGATGAGATATTGAACGTTTTCATTTAAAATAGACGTCGTCTCGTTTGCCATTTTGAAAGCATGCCTTTTTTCCGCTATAGCGATTTAGTCAAGATGGCCGCTTGTTGTAAAAATTTCCTTCAGTTTTATTTTGTGAATAAATATCCTGCGAAGTAGACCAATTTATGAAATAGGACTACGTGTAAAGATCAATGAAGGTGAGTTTATTATGTTTACATCAATAAAAATAAGACGGCTCGGCAATTTAAGGCAAATTCAAAACAACAAAGAGTGTCTTATTTATATTGTATGGCCACACTCAGTGGCCATAGAATATGGTAACTCATGGTCATGACAGGCCTTGCAATATAATACAGCGTTGTCACGGTTATACCAGGCTTACAAAATAACACTGCCACGGTCATGGCAGGATCCTTGCGCTACTTAAAAAACACCGAATAACATGGTGACGGTTACACCAGGCGTTAGTCTTGCAATAGATAGCATGTGGAAAAAATACCTGAGTTTGAATAGAATCGGCCTTAGCATCATCAAGTCTCTGTCGCTTGGTATCTTTATCTCGATCATCTCCTCTGTCTTTCCTCTTCATATCCTGCTGTTTCTTGTTCCGATTTCTCCTCCCCATTTTAAATAACAAGCGTTCAAAAATGAAACAAACACACGTGCAAAATAAAAATAAAGCAACTTCCGGTTTGATAGAAGAAAAAGGAGCCTTCCAATGAATCACGAAATTCTATCGTTTTATTTCACAGATAAGTGACATTTGATTTCGCATTGCCTGTGACGACATGACATCCTTCATTCAAAAGACTTCATTTATTATTAAATTCAATTGGAAAGAAGTGAAATACCCTTGGACCAATGATGACTTGACGAGGCAAACCACGAGATTCCGGTAATCACAATAGTCACACAAAACTACACTACACATGTAAATGCACTACACTTCGCACTATAAGTACACTATATACAAATCTAGTCATTTACATTTATTACATAATACTTTAAGCAGTTTGATATATCCAGAATGTCTTTAGGCAGGTTAATGTGGCATTTTAAAGTTTTGCATCATGTTTAGGGCAATTCTGACCATGTACATTGTGGTCCTGAGCCCTCATTATCCGGTCAGCGCTAAATTAGCGTTGCGATTTGCGTTGCGCTTGCGAATCAACATTATTCGCAAGCGCAAATCATGGTTTGCGTTGTATTACGCGCTTCACGCAAACGCAGACGCAACGCAGACGCAATAGTATGCTAATCGCAAATAAATTGGAAACGCGGGAAATTTAAACTTAGAGCTCAAAATAGATTTATCGATTTTGCCCCATCTTGCCTCATCGAGTCCCATAAGGTCACATGAGGTACCGCGTGGGACCAGGTGGGATTCGATGGGGCAAAATTCGACGTATTCCAATGGGCCAAGGTGGGATTTGATGGGACTCCGTAGGGCTTGATTGGGCATGATGGGGACTCAATGGGGCAAAGTCATCAAGTTCCCATGGAACACCGTCGTTATTCGATGGGAAAGTTGGAACTCAATGGGGCAAGTGGGATTTTTGCCCCATTAGTGTATACTTGACTTAATATATTAGCCCGGTCAGAAACACGCTGAAACACGCCCAAGTATGGTATAATTAGTTTTATCCATTTAAATCTCAAGGATGTAAAAATATTTATCCCATACTTGGACGTGTTATAGGTACATAAAGCTGGTTTGTAAAAACTTTTATTCCATACTTAGTAGTGTTATAGGTATATAACATGCGGGAATATAACTGATATGTGACGTGAGCGGGAGATATATATATCTCCCGCTCAGCAGATCTACGACGTCATAAATTCAGGGAGTAGATACTGAGCAAGGGGACTTTGCTATTATTCCTCACAATCTACTAAGTATAGAATAAATCAGTTATTAGATGCTCGATTTTTGATACAGGGTATATCCCTCGGTAAATACAATATATCAACCCTCGGTCCCTACGGTCCCTCGGGTTGATATATTGTATTTCCCTCAGATATACCCTGTATCAAAAACCTCCCATTAAATAACCTCTATATATTTTCATCAGCGGTCAGATATAGCTATACGTCCCTCTTAATATAGTATATCTGCCCGCTGACGTCATAATCGCCGTTCGCATATTGGTTCATTTTTGTAACATGCGCATAATTACTGTAAACGTTAATGGAGAAAAGGCAGACAATCGCGATCTGTTTGAAGGAAGGAAATGAGCGTATCCCGAATATCTGAAAATCAGGCTATTCTAAATGAATTCTTACGGTTGGTTGGACATTTTCTGAACTCTGGTCAATTGAACAGCGTGAACAAAATGACCAAGATTGGTATGGGATAAACAGATCATCCTATAGTCGGTTCATGATATTGGGATTAAATAAATGTGGATGAATATCTGAAAATCAGGCTATTCTAAATGAATTCTTACGGTTTGTTGGACATTTTCTGAACTCCGGCCAATTGAACATCGTGAACAAAATGACCACGATTGGTATGGGATAAACAGATCATCCTATAGTTCAATATCCTGAACCTCATATAGGATAATCTCTATTTATCCCATGATACTACTAATTCCCGATGAATAACCGGGAATATTTTTGATATTGAGAAAAAATCGTATTGAAAATTTTTGCCAAAAAAAGCTTCCTCTTTCAATCAGTTGGGTCGATATAGCATGCTAAAATGATGTTCTTATGTGAAAAACTAATTCCAGTTTTATCATCATCGCTCTGACACAGACAAAAATGCTTATGTATTGCTGAATGTTTTGATGTTGATGTGTTTATGTTACACATGTACAATAATTTTTTATATTTAAAAATATCATAAAGCTAAGTCATATTTTCTTGATTAAATATACCATTTTTTCATAGAAAAATCTAACTAATGATTTTATGAAAACAGTTATGAATATCATGGAATAAAAAGCTAATTTACTGGTCGGGATTAAATATGGGTTTATTCCTCATGACAATTTGATATTTCACATATTGTGAGGGACAATTTGGTATTTCCCTCTGATCCTCCGGGCTCTCGGTAAATATCATATTGTCCATCATAATAAAACCCATATTGAATCCCTCCCACTACATAACCTATATATATCTTGCGAAAATCTAGATCTGTCACTGGAAGGCAGCCCATCTTGAAAACAAGACACGGTGTCTTTGTAATTAGTCCGACTGATATAGCCTACCTAGAGAAAACCGCCGATACCTCAGCAACAATGTTCGAAACAGTAGGTTGGGATACCCCGAATATATCTCCATTTATCATTTGCATACAACCTGTAGCATAAAATCGTAATGAAATGAATACTTTTAGCTGACATGGAATTGCCTGAGGATTCCTTGTTCTTGACGCTAGATCCCCATCTAATATATTAATCAACTCAAGAATGAGTGGCCTTGGCATGCGATATATGTTTAATATCTCATCGTCAGTCATCTCTGACGGCTGACTCCTGTCTCTGAATAAGCGTAAACCTCTTCTATTGTGAACATCCTGGAATAATATGCGCCACATTTTCCAGCTTGATCGAACCCTAATATTTTAATTTTTGCAGACGATATTTGCGAAATGGAATTGCGATATTTATTATAGATTTCACAAAACCAAGGTAGCATAATCGTGCACTTTCAGACTTGATTTTGATAAGTTTTGGTTATTTGTGTCTCTAATGTTTTTCAACCTATTTTTAGTTGGATGTCTCAAAGGGCACTTCCTAGATTTCTACAACGATAATGTTAATTTAAATAGGAAAACTATCAAGATTCTTGATGATATGTTTGCGATTTATATTGCGGCAGGGTCAGGGATGCCGCAAATAAAGTGGAGTTTGCGACATAAAAATCAACTGATTTACGTGGACGCAACTGTGCGATGACTGCATAATACCAATTTGCGTGCGGTTAGCAGTGTATTTGCGATGCGAAATGAAAACAGCGATGCGTCTACCGTGTAATAAGAAAACTGCAATTTGCGCTAAAGACGCAAAACGGCAATGAATTTGCGCTAGAGTGCCTTTGAGATGACCTCATAATATCGTTTTGCGTACGATTCGCTAAATATTTACGTTGCGATTGCGATTTGCGGTGCGTCGACCGGATAATGAGGCCTCTGGTCCTGTAAATGATATGTGGAACTATTTGAATTGACTGGAGGTCAAAACAGATATCTGCTATCTTTGTTCAAAAATGTCTAAAAAGTAAAAATGCCACCGGGACATGTTTTGTCACTTCCAGTTTTGTCATTTCCTGTTAAGTACCACGATACCTTAATCTTTTTATGGCATTTCATATGATTGCATTTTCAGGAGTGATTTTATACTATTAATTTTGCTAGTGATGATATTCATTCTCAAACAGAATTTTTCTCTTGGTGCATTTCGCAATTAAACATGAACTGAATTTCATTGTCTATTTCTCAAAAACAAGTTGGGGTTTTGATATTTGAGTGACTTCTAATCATCAGCAAAATTTGCTATGGAGTAGGGGGAGCCTTGGCTTGAGCTGAATCCAAAGGATGATATATGATCATCATAGGGTGGGGTGGTCCATATGCTTAGGTCGATAGAAATAATTTTTAAATGAATATGGCCATGGTAATCGATCTGTGTTTATTTATATGAGAAGGTAATGCTTGATTCTGTTGGTGTCGCCATCTTTATATCGGCCAAGAACCTATGGTAAGGTCCTTCTGGTAAAGGGGACCCATCGGTTTAAACAGTTTCAGCGAATACGAGGCTACTTTATGTTCAGCAACGCTAGTAGAGGGATAAGACCCCTTAGTCAGCACTTCTGGGTGCAGAAATGTAATTATGGAACTCGCTCCTTTTTAACATTGGAAATTAAATTGGTACAATTTCGAATTTCCACTGCAATAAAATCTTATTTCAAATTTAATTACATGTAGGTCACGCATATGACAATTTTCGTGGACAATTGATCCCTAACTGGAATTTCGTTACAAACAAATGCACCCTTGGTATACGCAGCTAACGAAAATTGACCGGTACGGGTCAAAAGCTGGACCGGTACGGGTTAACGGTTTTATTTGAATTTAAATGCTTTTAAGTACCCCAATTTTTTACAGCTTTTTAAACGGACCAAAACTCTCTAAATGCGCATTTATGCTCTTTTCTCTCATAGCATTAACATAATTGAGGAATCTTTATACATGTGTGTTATTGCCCCGAACCGGTCCGTCTTCTCGCTGCAAGCAGGAGGAAATTCTTTGTCACAAAGTTTGGCCTTTTTTATAAAATCAAACGCGCGTCATTGAAACTCACAAGATGTAAATAGCATGTCATTTACATCATACCTTGATGGGGAAAAATAGATCTTATATGTTAGAAGTACTAAATAAAAGTTATCGTGAAAATGAGACAGTCGTTCTCAAGAGAAAAGAGCATAAATGCGCATTTAGAGAGTTTTGGTCCGTTTAAAAATCTGTAAAAAATTGGGGTACTTAAAAGCATCGGGAGGCATCAAGTATTTCAAATTAGACACGAGGAAGTCAATATTGAGCAAGTTATGGCTGTTTTAAATTCAAATAAAACCGTTAACCCGTACCGGTCCAGCTTTTGACCCGTACCGGTCAATTTTCGTTAGCTGCGTATACCAAGGGTGAAATGGATTGCTGTACATGGCGTAGAATAATGGAAATAGCGCCATGAATCCCGGGACAATGAATCTCGGATCCAAGTACGTCATTAATGGTCGAAAATCAAAATATTGACAAATTTATAACCTAAAAGGCCGAAAGATTATGCGGCAAATATTGAAACGGAGGTTGTCAACATATTGTATTAGGTTTGATCTCTTAGAATCCGTTGAATCCTAAGCGATTGGAGTTGTTTAGATCACTTAACGAATGATATGGAATGATGAGGATTTGGGTTTTTTCAAAGTTTATAATGGCGGCCAATGGGGGATTTTAGCAAAATATCCCGAAAATTAAATCATTAAAAGACCGAAAGATTTGTGGATGGATTTTGCTGTTTTATATATCAAAATGAACACTTCGTTGGTCTAACAAGGGTCCGTTGAATCCTAAAAAAATAAATGATTTGCTCAAAAGTTATTAAGATTTTAAATTTTGATGAAGACTGCTCTCCATTGAAATCTTTGGACCATGAAATGTCGATTTACGCGCATGCGTTGTGACGTTATTTCCATATTCTACGCCATGACTTTGCCATATGACAAACATAAGTTACATGAATCTTAACAGAAATAACACAAATGAATATCATGTCAGTATGCATGCCTTGTCGCCATTTTTGAACAAATATGAAGCAAAATGATGAATTGTGTATTTGCGTCACTCATACTTTGAACGCCGATAATACATGTATCAATAAATTAAGAGATGTTCCTTAAATAATTTGTTGTTTGTCAGAATTTTACTGTAGTTTTCAAATATGTAATCAGATAATAGTGAAAATTAAAAAAAGTTAAAGTAAAAGTGACCATTGAACAATTTTGTCTGGGCTAAGAATGTAATTAACTTTATTCCTCAAGGAAATAGATTCTGTTAAAATATTTCTCGAGTGCACGCATGTTTATGGTGTTTTTATATTTTAAATAATTTCGGAATAATTTCATAAAGTTATAGAGATCTTTGATCACGAGATGTCATCGCCCAAATCCACACCACAGATACCTCTGGAATCACATTTCAACAATCATCTGAACACAATTTAGAACTTCTCAAAACTTTTAGAAAGCAAAATTTCGTTGAACCCTGGAGGAGTAATTCCCCACTTCGTATACATGTATCCTACACTCGGAGAAAGTGCAAGCTATCACTCGTTATTTGTTGTGACTGAATTGCATAGGCGTAGCCGGGGGGGGGGGGTGTCATTGTGTGCAATCGCCAATACAAATAGGACCACGGGATAGAAGAAGAAGATAGGATCTTTCAAATGCTTTTTATTGGAAGCTTCTAGCTCAGTTTTGAAGGAAGTTGCATCAATTTTTGTAAAATTCAAAATAATTCTTATTTTGGCTTGTTTTTCCACAATCACACCCCCTCCCTGACTGGAAACCGACATTTTTTGGCGATCACATTAAAATGACTGAGAGCTGGCTACGCCCCTAGAATGCCCTACAAAATCTCCCTGGTCTTGACCATTTCCTGATTTTGAGAGATTTTTTTGAGAAACAATAAACAATAAACGATATTTTTTAGGCAAATTAGAAGGTGGTGTGAAATAAAAAAAAGAAGTTGATTTTGGGCTGTGAAGTACAGAAATGACTTCAAAATCGCCAAAAAGTCAAGTGACATTCTGCATTTCCTCCAAATTTAGTATTATTTATACTTTAATATTTTTTTAATTGATTTATTGGTTGATTGGTCTAGAAAGCAATGTTGGTAGGTGTGAGCTCAGAAATACTGTAAAGCAATATGACGTCATAAGACATATTATAATAGCATTGTCTTTTCTGAGAATTTGAATGACGTCACACTATGATTTCTCCTAATTGTTGTTATGTAAACAGATACACGAATCTCGACAGCGAATTGTGGAAATCGTATGATATTGGTGTTTTTCTCTGAACTCTGAAGTCAGATTTCTACCAAAGCCTGCCTAATTATGGGTGAGTATACTTTTAATCACTTAGTAAACTTCAAAGAATAATTTTTCAAGTAATAGATGCATTGCACAGTGGTTATTATTAAAAGTTTCATGCATGTTTTCAAAGTCACAATATTTTGATCTCACGACATGACGTCATGATAATGAAATCTGAATCTATCATGAATTCTAAGAATCTGATTGACGTCACAATCAGATTCAACCATAGTGTTGTTATAGTGGCATTGCTATTGTTATGTAGTATAAACAAATCACGGAAAAAAAGAAGCCGATCGTAATAAAATAATTATATAAAAGCCATAAAAGACACAGAAAGACAAAAAGAGGTTCTGTTATATGAAGCAGATCGTCATATCATTTGATCATGGGTGAGTTTTAAGTTTAAACTTCAGTGGTCAGTATCACGTGAAGGTTACGGCCGTCACCTTCGCATAAAAGATGGCGAACGGGAAGTGTCGTTTCCGATATTTTTTAGTTTTCATCGAATTAAAATACTTTATAATTGACGCAATGCTTTGATATTTGAATAAATATAAACCAGGCTATGGCAACTCTGGTGTACATGGCAACTCTCGGGACTTATTCCACACCATCCTGTGGAGCACCCATTGTTTATACAGATCATCAGCTAAATTTTTCTTCCAAGTTAGTTTCAAATAGAGGAACATGGCGTAGAATAATGGAAATAGCGTCATCACCCTATGCAGACAGAGCCTGTGGGAAATATTGGGTGCGGCGCAAATGAGCGGAGGGTGCGGAGCTAACGGTCATTTTTGAATTTAAAATTGGGATATTTCTGAAACTAAGCCGTTTTGGGACTTCAAATATACCAAGATATGTGTATTTAAGTAATTCATTTATGGTGAATTTACCAATGCAAGGAGAGAAATTGAAATACTTACTGTAGTAATTGTAATACTCATTTACATAATAAAGCAATTAAAAAACTCAAAATGACAATATAAGTTAAACCTAAGTATAATGAAGTAAAACTAAGTATTTAACTTTAAGTAATTTTTATACTTGGGAAATACTTGGGAAATACTCAAGTAATTCATTTTAAGAGTGTAGGTGTTTCGTCTTGTGGATGTACAGGTCATGTGTGATCAATACAATACAATAAGAGATGAGTCTAACTTCAGGGAAGTAATGGTGGAGGTATTCAAGTGAAGCATCGGAGTAGTGCGATGTTGCTTCATCTGTCTATGGATAACAGAATCAATGTTAACCGCTCGCTTCTGCGCCAATGTCCATCCAACGTCCATTTGCATCCTCAAACCAGCGTGGCCAAGTATCACCCTTCAACAGTCAACTTCTCTACATCACACGTTTGATGCCGATGCTTAGAAGGCTAAACCCGAAACATAAAGTGCATTTTTTATTTGTTGAACGTTATTACAAACTTAAAGGATCCGTACCCATTAGTGTACCTATAAGGACTTAGAAATTTATTGAAAACGGTAAAATGGAATTTCAGAATTATTTTTATGTAATATGAATCTTATAAGTATATTTTCAACAAATTACATTAATACCCATTTAAAGGGACACTGCTTGTAAGGAAGTTCTCACCTAATGAAACGAATGGGTCAATCTATTTTTGATTCTTCATGCATGCCTACCCCTGAAGATGATATATTGCCGAGGGACTAAATCGATATCCATGTAGCCCTTTAAAGGGACACTGCTTATAAGATAGTTCTCACCAAAAGAAACAAAAGAGTCAATCTATTTTTGATGCTCCGAAAATGATATATTGCTGAGAGACGGAATCAATATCCATTTAGCCATTTAGGGACACTGCTTGTAAGATACACTCTTAAAAATTATTACTTGGATTTCCTTATATTGAGAAATTGTACTATTCATTTTAAGTCAAAAATTACTTAAATAATCTTGAACTACTGAATAATTTTAAAATAATTTTAAGGTAATTCATTTATGGTGAATTAACTAATGCAAGGAGAGAAATTGAAATACTTACTGTAGTCATTGTAATACTCATTTACATAATAGAGAGGTTAAGCAAGACGATTTTTTATGACGTGAACCGCAAACGTAAACCTTTACGTTCCCGTTTACGTACTATGAACAAAAGTGCTTTAAGCTGAGCACTTAAGACGTAACGTAAACGCAAACCTCAAAATGATTTTTTCTTTTTCTTAAGGGCGTTTCGTTTTATTTTCTACTTAAAAAGTATAAAAAAAACATTACTTTATTGACAATTTGATGAAAGTGTTTAACAAAGGAGATGTTTCACAGCCTGGCGGTGTTCTATGGCATCATGAATCTTAAAACATACAACAGGACCCAATAACATCTTTAATGTCTTAAAAGCATTCATAGTTTTATTACTATGGTGTCACAATATGTATAATATAATTTAGATGTGTTGGCATGTTGGTAATTGCCATGCATGTAATCTCATCAGATTATGAAATGGTCGCCTCAACATTCAAGTTATATTTTCATTTGTTGGACACAAATGATCTCGATGTATACACAGATCTGTGTCAAACATATTCATGCATTCGACCTATATCATATTTATTTCGATCGAACTTGATAAAGTACGAAAAATCCTTTACGGAACGACCTACCTAGACTTTGAATTTTCACGTTTTGATGCACGTAAACCGGGAAATAAGTAGAACAATATGACGTCACATCCTGAGAAAAACCTGCGTGCGCCTTCCCGTTCGCGGTTTACGTTGTAAAAAGTAGTGTTGCTTAACCCCTCAAATTAAGCAATTAAAAAACTCAAAATGACAATATTTAGTTAAACCTAAGTAAAATGAAGTAAAACTAAGTATTTAACTTTAAGTAATTTTTATACTTGGGAAATACTTGGGAAATACTCATTGACAAGTAATTCATTTTTAAGAGTGTAGTTTTCATCCTAAGTCACTCTCAAATATTTTACTGCATAATGATTATGTAACTTATACAATGGATAGGTTAAAAATATCTCCCCTTGTTTGATAGCAAAACGATTGGTTTAAAACTGACGAAAAAACTATCCTACATACACCCTTTTCAATTTAAAAAAACAATCATTTGACTTTATATACCTTTAGGTTCAATTGAATTATTCTTTTAAAATCCCAAATAAAGATATCATATATTGGGGAGTCACAACTAGAGTTTTGATATTTGAGTTGAATACCATCAAGGTTTTGTGTTTTCAATACGAGCACCTTTATTAAGATTCATTGATATATTACGTTTTTAGGGGTTATTTTATGATTTGTGTTTTCAATATGTTGCCGTTTGTGTCCTTTTTTAATGATATTTTGATATATCGATTGATTGAATGGTCAACATACTTAAAATCGTCATGGTTGAAGACTAACATACCCCTAACATGATATTTGGAATGATCTGCATAGTCAAATTTAAATGCACTAAATGACCTTAGTTTTAATCCCAATGACCTAATTTTGTTTTTGATGTGTTCTTAATTGATCAAAGTAACTATTTCCACATTATATTCAATGAAACCTTTGGGGGCATCTTTAGGTACACAGGGTAACGGATCCTTTGCAATTAACTTCAACGATTCAACACCAAAGAGCTTGGATTGGGCACATCACAAACTATTGACCCCACGCTCTCTTTTCAGTGATATATCAAAATTAAACTTATATCATACAAAACTTCCATATCTGTATGACAGTTCAATGAAAGAAATTCGGAGATCTTCCTGTCGTAAGACAATTTTACGTTGTCAAAGTGTGAATGATTTTTTGGACCATCATGTAATATCAATATAATTTCAGGAGAGGAGTCTCAATCAAACAGGACCCTAGAAGAGGAGGTGACGAAAAGGTTACAGCCGTTTGTAGATGAAACGGAGAAACTCATAGCCGATCTCAGGAAGAAGTTGGCCAAGGATATCGAAATGGAGTGGATCAGTGAAGGTGCTAATGATGTTCTGAAAGCCCTTAATGATTCAAGCTGTTTCAGAGAGCCCAACCCGTGCCATAAGAAGAAAGTACACTTTGGGGGGAAACATTGTGATAATAGGCTTACAAAGAATATTGCTCCATCATTGATTGAAGACGAACGCCCACCTTGGCACTGCTCGACATCTCCTACTTCCATCCTGGACAATAGTTTTGAATTACTTGCAATAAGCAAAACCCAAATCACCGCTACACTCCAGCGAGGTAGACCAACAACAGCACGGCCATCACAGCCCCAAAGGCCAGGGAAAGCTAATGCCGCTCCCTCCCGTGCCATTCTGATGAAAGCTTCCGGGACAACATCACCTTTGGACAGCTCACCATCTCCCCCTGGCATCCTGGACAATAGTAGTGAACTGCCTGCAATAAACAAGAGCCAACTGACTGCTACTCCCCAGCGAGCTAGACCAACAACAGCACGGCCATCACAACCCCAAAGGCCAGGGAAAGCTAATGCCGCTCCTTCCCGTGCCATTCTGATGAAAGCTTCCGGGACAACATCACCTTTGGACTGCTCACCATCTCCCCCAGGCACCCCGGATACAAGTTGTGAACTGCCTGCAATAAACAAGAGCCAGCTGACTGCTGCCCCCAAGCGAGGTAGACCAACAATAGCACGGCCAGTACAACGCCCAAGGCCAGCGAAAACTAATGCCACTCCCTCCTTTGGCATTCAAGATAAAGCTTCCGGGACAACATCACCTTTGGACTGCTCACTATCTCCCCCTGGCACCCTGGACAATAGTTGTGAACTGCCTGCAATAAACAAAAGCCAGTTGACTGCTGCTCCCCAGCGAGGTAGACCAAGAACAGCACGGCCACCACAGCGCCAAAGGCCAGCAAACACTGATATCGCTCCCTCATGTGGTATTCAAGAGAAACGCCTCATGTTCAACTGCACGCCATCGCCTCCTGGCTCTATGGGACATCCTTTGATAGACAACGACCAGTTTACTGCAACCATTCCGTGTAAAGAGCCAAGGCCGACAATATCACATCATACACAGCGCCAAAGGCCAGAGAAAAGTAATATCGCTTCCTCCTGTGGTACCGAAGAAAAACGCCGAATGTGCAACTGCCCGCCATCGCCTCCTGGCTCCGTGGAACTTCTTTTGAAAAACAACGACCAGTTTACTGCAACCATCCAGCGTAAAGAGCCAAGGCCGACAATATCACATCATACACAGCGCCAAAAGCCAGTGAAAACTAATATCGCTCCCTCCTGTGCTATCCAAGAAAAACGCCGAATGTCCAACTGCACTCCATCGCCTCCTGGCTCCGTGAGACTTCCTTTGATAGACAACGACCAGTTTACTGCAACCATCCCGCGTAAAGAGCAAAGGCCGACAATATCACATCCTGCACAGCGACGCAGATCAGTGCCAACCAATATTGCCATTGAAGACAACCAAATGTGCAACTACACGCCATCAGCTATTTGCCCTGCGGAACTCCCTTTAATAGGCAACAACCAGCAATTTACTGCAGCCATCCCACGGAGAGAGTCCAGGCCGACAACATCACGCCCAACACAGCGCCGTGGATCAGGCCCAGCCAATATCGCCATTCAACAGAAACGCCCGATGTGCAACTGCACACCATCGCCTCCTGGCTCGGGGGAACTCCGTTCAACAGGCCAATCAACTGCAGCCACCCCGCCAAATGTGCCGAGACAGCGCTACATACAACAGTCACGACCATCTAGGCGTGCAGGCGGGCCAACCCCGGCTCCACCAGCCACCAGAAAGCCCTCTACTCAAATGCAAGGATCCACGGCAATACACAAACGCAAATTTAAGGAAAAGGCCAACCAACAAAGCCTTGCTCAAAAATTGGAGGACAAAATGAAAAGGGCCGAAGAAAATCATAGACGGGAGATTGAAAAGAAAAGAGGAAGAGCGCAACACTCTCTGGATTGGGTGAGTAATAATTCATTATTTCACCAAACTCATGGTTTTATATGTATACTTTTCATTTTTCGAAATTTTTCATTTATATTGGGGTTTATTCCATAATACTACTCTGGTTTCCCAGGGAAATATGAAGGAATAAAAATCGTATTGAATCGTATTACATGAAAAAATCGTATTGGAGCGTATTACATGAAACAATCGTATTGTCCCTGGGAAAAATCGTTTTGGAACGACGTATTAACTTATTTTTGGTTTCCCGGTTATTTTTTAACCTTGGCTAATTGATAAAAGTATTATCCAAATGTAACATTTTAGAGGAATGTATTATGGAATAAATAGGTCATTTCTGGTCGGGATTGAATATGGGTTTTCTTCCTCGGAAAATATGATATTGACCTTGAGCAATATGATATTGACACTCGGTCGCTGCGCTCCCTCGGTCAATATCATATTACCCCTCGGTCAATATCATATTGTCCCTCGGAATAAAACCCATATTCAATCCCTCCCATTAAATAATCTATATATATTCGTGAAAATAACTTTGCATTATTTTCCTAAATGGAATCGTCTTTTTATACTTTTGGACATTAAGAGTCATTGTTGTAATGAAACAAAAAAATGATGATTGCATCACTGAGATTTACTATTCCGAAGAGCCAGTTGTAATTGACCAATGAGAGAACGAGTATCACAGCATGGAAACAATAATACATAATATTAATCGAAAGATAATTAATTTTTGTTGTTATTATATTCCAGTGGGAGACTGGTCTAGCTAAAAACTTAGAGCTTCACGAGAATGATCCAGATGATACTTATGTTAGGGCACGTGCCAAAGCTAATGAAGCGGCAAAAAGAATTGCATAGATTGTTATTTACATCATTATCACAGTAATTCACGGATGAGATTCATTCCCAACTCTGCGAGGATGGTTCACTTTTTATTTTTTTATTTTTATAATTTTAAAAGGACGATTCTCGGTTTGGAGAACAGTCTCCTGGGCTAATAATTTTTTTCATGAAAAATATAGAAATATTACCCAAATTAAACTATGAATATTCAAATGAGGACATTTAAATCTACAAGATGTAAAGATAACAAATTGGTCTGAAGCAGGGATAATGCTCAAAAAGACCGATTCAATATAAATACAAGTCTCGATTTGGGGAAAGAAGTTCACCAGTGTACTGCGCTAATATTTTTTTGCGAAAAATCTAGAAATATTACCCAAATTAAATTATGACTATTCAAAAGAAGACATTCAAATCTTTATTATGTAAAAAAAATCAAATTTGTCCGAAGCAGGGATAATGCTCATTTAGATTGATGAACTTCGTTCTCCAAACCGAGAATCGTCCTTTGGAGCATATACCGTAGGCCTATTTCTTTGTCATATTAAAAGGGGCTCAATTCCATTCTCATATTCCTAAATTATACACCAAAACTGGAAAAACAACTCTGAATCACCCATTACTTTGTCATCCCCTAGATAAACCCACATTAGATTTCCAAACAAACCCTTTCGGTCCATATCAGGGTCACGAAAATTGAAAATAGCCCTCGAAACGGTGAATTAATTCCAGGAGGTGTATGCACACATTTAACTTGTAACGTCTCCGTAATGTATACCTACATTTACTAGCCTCGCATCTCCGACTCTATCGAGCTTTGGTGATTTAGAGTGAGAGTTTACTCCCGGTAATTGACCTTTTATGTTGACCGTATTGATCTAATTTGGTGGTTTGGCGTGAGAGCTTACTGCCTGTATCGACCTTTTCTGTTGACTGTACGATCTTTGGTGGTTTGGCGTAACAGTTTACTACCGGCATCAACCTTTTCTGTTGGCTGTATGACCTTTGGTGATTTGGCGTGAGAGTTTACTGCCTCTTTCGACCTTTTCTGTTGGCTGTACGACCTTTGGTGATTTGGCGTGAGAGTTTACTGCCTCTTTCGACCTTTTCTGTTGGCTGTACGATCTTTGGTGGTTTGGCGTAACAGTTTACTACCGGCATCAACCTTTTCTGTTGGCTGTACGACCTTTGGTGATTTGGCGTGTGAGTTAACTGCTGGTAACGACCTTTTCTGTGTATCGACCTTTGGCGATTTGACGTAATAGTTTAATGCTGGTATCTACCTTTTCTGTTTGGGCATCAGTTTACTCTAAACGTGTTAATAATGTGCGCTGTATTGATGCAACCATGTAACCCGACGATGAGTTAACCCACGAGGGAATGACAGTTTACAATAAACACATGCGATTCTGGAGACACGCATATTTACTGACCTTTTTTCAGATAATAAAAACATTTTCCGAATAGCAAAATTTGGTTCTAGAGCAATTTCAGTAGTAACTTTAAGTTTAAAACAGATCTCGCTAAATAGAGCTCTCTGGTTTATGTCGAACGCAAGCATTTACATTAATAGGGGTATCGCTAAATAGAGACCCTGAAACATGTTATCTGCTTGTTACTAAACTACTTAAAGTTACACACTAGAATTCTAGACCTCGTTAAATAGAGCTCTCTAGTTTCTGGTGACACTGTTTAATTGTCTCGACCAACTAATTTTGGCTTATCCTGGGAATATTTTAATTGTCTAAAGAAAGGTTTCAGCTTTATGGTGTAACAAATTGCATTTGTTCTATGTCTACTTTCATTCCCAAATGGGTTGTCTCACATAGGGTCACGTGGTATTTGCTGCTTTTTGTGAGTAGGTATGGCATTAACATCAGTCGACCGCTTGAATGAAAGGTTGCAGTACAGTTCATAAATCAACATGTGTAACATCTATTGAAAAGTCGTGAGTCAACTTAAACAACATGACCCTGTGAACTATAGGTCACTGTCACATCGCGTTGCTATCAATTACAATCTATTGATAAGGTCGAGGGTCAACTTAACAACATGACCCTGTGAACTATAGGTCACTGTCACATCGCGTTGCTATCAATTACAATCTATTGATAAGGTCACTTAACAACATGACCCGGTGAACTAAAGGTCAATGTCACATCGCGTTGCTATCAATTACAATCTATTGATAAGGTCGAGGGTCAACTTAACAACATGACCCGGTGAACTAAAGGTCAATGTCACTCGCGTTGCTATCAATTACAATCTATTGATAAGGTCGAGGGTCAATTTAAGAACATGACCCGGTGAACTAAAGGTCAATGTCACATCGCGTTGCTATCAATTACCATCTATTGATAAGGTCGAGGGTCAACTTAACAACATGACCCTGTGAACTAGAGGTCACTGTCACATCGCGTTGCTATCAATTACCATCTATTGATAAGGTCGAGGGTCAACTTAACAACATGACCCGGTGAACTATAGGTCAATGTCACATCGCGTTGTTATCAATAACCATCTATTGATAAGGCCGAGGGTCAACTTAACAACATGACCCTGTGAACTAGAGGTCACTGTCACATCGCGTTGCTATCAATTACCATCTATTGATAAGGTCACTTAACAACATGACCCGGTGAACTATAGGTCAATGTCACATCGCGTTGCTATCAATTACCATCTATTGATAAGGTCGAGGGTCAACTTAAACAACATGACCCGGTGAACTATAGGTCACTGTCACATCGTGTTGCTATCAATTACCATCTATTGATAAGGTCGAGGGTCAACTTAAACAACATGACCCGGTGAACTATAGGTCATTGTCACATCGTGTTGCTATCAATTACCATCTATTGATAAGGTCGAGGGTCAACTTCACAACATGACCCGTTGAACTATAGGTCAATGTCACATCGCGTTGCTATGAATTACCATCTATTGATAAGGTCGAGGGTCAACTTCACAACATGACCCGGTGAACTATAGGTCACAGTCACATCGCGTTGCTATCAATTACCATCTATTGATAAGGTCGAGGGTCAACTTTAACAACATGACCCGTTGAACTATAGGTCACTGTCACATTGCGTTGCTTTCAATTACCATCTATTGATAAGGTCGAGGGTCAACTTAACAACATGATCCTGTCAACTAGAGGTCACTGTCACATCGCGTTGCTACCAATTACCATCTTTTGATAAGGTTGAGGGTCAACTTAACAACATGACCCGGTGAACTATAGGTCTGAGTCGCCTAACGAAAGGGTCGAGGGTCAACTTTAACATCATGACCAGGTGAACTATAGGCCACGGTCATCTCACGCTGCTATCACTTAACATCTGTAACATCCATTGGAAAGGTCGAGGGTCAACTTCAATAACATGACCTGGTGAACTATAGGTCACTTTCACATCGCATTGCTATCAATTACCATCTATTGATAAGGTCGAGGGTCAACTTAACAACATGATCCTGTGAACTAGAGGTCACTGTCACATCGCGTTGCTATCAATTAACATCTGTAACATCTCTTGATGAGGTCGAGGGTCAACTTTAACAACATGACCAGGTGAACTATAGGTCACTGTCACATCGCGTTGCTATCAATTACCATCTATTGATAAGGTCGAGGGTCAACTTAACAACATGATCCTGTGAACTAGAGGTCACTGTCACATCGCGTTGCTATCAATTAACATCTGTAACATCTATTGATGAGGTCGAGGGTCAACTTTAACAACATGACCCTGTGAACTACAGGTCATATTCACCTCGTATTGCTATCAATTAACATGCGTGACATCTACTCAAGAGGTCGAGGTCAACTTTAAAAACATGACCCGGTGAACAATAGGTCACACTCACCTCGCATCATCAACCTGCGCAACATCTGTGTAAAGGTCGAGGGTCAACTTTAACAACATGACCCGGTGAACTATGGAACGCAGTCACCTCCCCTTGCTACAATTAACATCTAAAACATCTATTGAAAAGGTCGAGGGTCAACTAAACAACATGACCCGGTGAACTATAGGCCACAGTCATCTCGCGTTGCTATCAATTGCCATCTATTGATAGGGTCGAAGGTCAACTTTAACAGCATGACCAGCTGAACTATAGGTCACTGTCACATGGCGTTGCTATCAATTATCATCTTTTGAAAAGGTCGAGGGTCAACTTAACAACATGACCCGGTTAACTATTGGTCGCAGTCACATCACGTTGCTATCAGTTAACATCTATGATATCCATTGAAAAGGTCGAGGCTCAATTTTAACAACACGACCCGGTTAACTATTGGTCGCAGTCACATCACGTTGCTATCAGTTAACATCTATGATATCCATTGAAAAGGTCGAGGCTCAATTTTAACAACACGACCCGGTGAACTATTGGTCAAAGTCACATCACGTTGCTATCAATAAACATCTATGATATCTATTAAAAAGGTCGAAGGTCAACTTTAACAACATGACCCGGTGAACTATAGGTTACTTCGAGTTGCTATCAGTTAACTTGTGTTGCATCTGCCCAGGGTCAACTGTAACATTATAGTGCATTTAATAACAAGTTATTGTCACATAGCCGTGTCATCTTTTTATCATGTGTTTAAACTTAAACTGATCAATTCCAATAACAAAATCTTGATCGTTTTTTCCATTTTTCCCAATATCCACCAAACAATTCGATTCAAAAACATTTTTAGGGCTTAATTATTCACAACTACTTAAACTATTTAGGCTGTCTTGACTCATTATTGCAGATACTGAGCTTTTGAAATTGACTTTTACTATGAAGTTTTCAACGAACCATCCTCGCTGCAGATTTGGGAATGGATCATATTTAGGCATTTCATGAATCATGAATGAATTTTAGTCATTACAGTCAATAAGCATTTTTACAAGTGTATATGAATCCCCTCTGAAATCTTGTATTTTATAACTTGTAGAGCTTAAACTGATGAATTTCTGGATATTTTTTCTGGTAACTTAATCAAAATTCCTGAACAC